ACATTATAATATATGTTTATTATAATTTTATAACATTATTATATAAATGTGCATTATAAGGTAATAAAATTAAAAATTATTAAATAAAAATTAAAGATTATTAAAAAGCAATGACTATATTATCTATATGATAAATATAATAGTTAATAATTATTAGTAATTAATAAATATTGATGTAGTACCTACTATGTGCCAAGCACTTTACAAATATTATCTCATTTGAACCTCATAACAACATTGAGAAGTAGGTGCTATTATTATTCCCATTTTACAGAAGAGGAAACTGAGACAACGAGGTCAAGTGCCTTGCCCAGGGTCACACATCTATGGAGTGTCTGACACAACTTCATTTCTAATATAGTAAACATCAATAGATATAAATAACCCACCGAAAAAGCCTTTTTTTGGGGGATGGGCAGGAAGTCTTCAACAATTTTTAAGATTGTAAGGGGGTCCTGAGACCAGAAGATTTGAGAACCTCTGGCCCGGATCCCCGTGGTGTCCTCCAGCTTGAACAATAAGATTTATGAGATCACATTTGAAGAGTGAGGCCCAGAGATGATGAGTGGGATGTGTCATCCTGAGTGGGCAACCCCATGAATAATTCCAAGGAAAGGGATTTATAATCCCACATCAGCTGCTCACAGGTTTCCCTTAAATCCTTTAGCCCCAGTCACACACAGTCTGTTGTCACTTGCCATTAGAGTCATAAATTTAGAGATGGAAGGTAGCATAGGGCCACTGAATTCAAGCCCCTCATTTAACAGAAGAGGAAACAGACCAGGAAAGATAAGTACTTTGCCCAAGGTCACACTAGAAGTAAGTAGCAGAGTCAGTATTCAAACCCAGGTTCAAATATCTCCAATTTGAACTCCCAATCCAATTCAGCACTCTTTCCATTGTGCTAAGAAGCCTCTCCAGTTATATGGACAGTGATGATTCCTGGTGGTGTGGGGGAAGTTAGCATTGTGGAGCTCCAAAACAGAAATCTCCCAACTCAGTGGAAACACAGCTGATGAAGGAGCCATTCTCAATGAATGAAAGAAAAAGCTGGTGTGAGACAGAGGTGCTGAATTGGGTAAGTGTCACATGGCCTCCTTGTGATGAATTACCAGCTGTTAGAAACCATTAACAGAAGCCAAATTGATTTCATTTTGAAAGCAGAACCTTTTCTTATCTTCCATGGATTACAGCACAAGCTGGAGCTCTGTGTATGTAGATGTGTGTGTGGGTGAGGGGGTGAGTGTGTGCAGACAGTGTGAGAGTCCAAGGATGTGAGAGTGTGAGGGGGTATGTGCAAAGATGAGATCGTGTGGGGGTGAGTGTCAATGTGAAAGTAGAAGTGTAAGAATATGTATAAAGGTGAGAGTGTACATGTGTGAGTGTGAAGGTATAAGAGTGTAAGAGGATGAATGTGTGTATGTGCAAAGGTGTGTATGGCTGTGAGTATGAAGATACAAAAGTATAAGGGTGAAATGGTCAGCATGCAAAGATGAGAGTGTATGGGTGTGAGTGTGAAAATAGAACAGTATAAGCATAAGTATGCAAAGATAAGAGTGTATGGGTGTGAGTGTGAAGACAGAATAGTATAAGGATAAGTGTGCAAAGATGAAAGTGTATGGGTGTGAGTGTGAAAATAGAACAGTATAAGGATAAGTATGCAAAGATAAGAGTGTATGGGTGTGAGTGTGAAGACAGAATAGTATAAGGATAAGTGTGCAAAGATGAGTGTATGGGTGTGAGTGTGAAGATACAAAAGCATAAGGGTGAGTATGAAAAAGTGAGAAGTGAATGGGTGTGGGTTTGAAGGTATAATGGTAAAGGGTGTGCAAGAATGTGTGCATGAAGTGAAGAGAGTGAAAGAGGAAGTCATCTACTGTGATGGATGTGAAGGAGTAAGAGTATCTACCATCTAAATGTTAGTGCGATTGTGAGGATTTGTGAGTTTGAGGGTCTATGAGTGTGCCAGAGTAGAAGGGATGTGCAGAGAGGTGAGAGTGTTTAAAGGTGAGATGTGAGGGTATATGTGTGAGGATGGAGAGTATAAGGCATGTATGTGAGTGTATGTGTGAGTAGGCAAGAGGATGTGTGTGTGTGTGTGTGTGTATGTGAGTGTGTGTGAGGATGGATAGAGGGATGAAGGCATACAAGTATGAAAGAATGAGAGTGAGGAGTATATGTGTATACTTGTGAATGCAAGGGTATGTGAGACCTTTCGGATGAGAGTGTGCAGAAGGGTGAGAGGGGATAGTTGTGACATCAGAAGGGTGTGTATAAGAAGATAACTGAAAGACAGAAGCCACTCAAAGATATGTCACTCAACCCCTACTTGTCCTCTCTTTCCTTTCTAAATCTATTCTCTAAAAAAAATTTGCTATCAGTCGTTTTCACCATAGTGTGAATTCCAGTCACTATATTACCTTTGCAAGGGGTGTCTTCCTTAAACCTCATGGGGGTGGTGTGGGGACAAACGTTTACATTCCTACTATGTGTCAGGCACTGTGCCAAGTGCTTTACAAATGTTATCTCATTTGGTCCTCACAACAGTCCAGTGAGGTAGATGCTATTATTATCCCCATTTTACAGTTGAGGAAACTGAGGCTGACAGGTTAAATGACTCGCCCAGGGTTGCACAGCTAGTAAGTGTCTGTAAGGCTGGATTTGAAGGATTTTCACTGAGGAATGAAAGCCTCAGTCCTCCATTATGAAAGAATCCCAGGTATTAGCCATTATTGGAAGAGAGGAGGTTCTGAAGGGGGGGGCGGTGCATTCCAAGCCCTACTGCCCAGAAAGGTTGCTTTCTGCTCTGCTGGTCTGGTAAAGCTGGTCCTGTGGAGGTACGTGTGGCCATGAGAATCAGTGGGTGGTGCCGGTACATAGATCTATTATAACCTGGCTGGGGTGGGTAGGTGGGGGTTGAGTGAGTCTGTGTGAGTATCTGGATGGATTATAGAGTTGGAAGGGAACTGACAGACCGTTTAAACCCAACATCCTCATTTTCAGAGGGGGTGGAACTTGACTAGGCAAGATGAGGAAGGAGGCAAGGACTCCCAAGCTTCTCTGGTGGCTGTGTTGAATCCCAACTTCACAGAACAAATCCTTAGGATTTGTCAAAATCAGTCAAAGGGCTACACTTGAGGACCTAGAGGGCCACATGTGGCCTCCAGGAGGCAGGTTCCCCACCCCTGGCCTAGAAAGTCTGAAGGGGCTGTGGGTGGACTTTACTTAGAGAATGTCAGAGCTGAAAGGGACTTAGGCTCTAAGGCCTTTCCAGCTCTTAACATTCTGGGTTCTAAGATCCTTATGCAGCTTGACATTCTGTATTCTAAGCCCTCCACCCGCCACCCCAGCTCTGACATTTTATATTCCAAGGTTCCTCAGTTCTAAATCTGGTTTTTGGTGATGACATTCATTCTCACATTTTCACTGCCCCAATGCCAGCCCCACCCCAAGCACTTCAGTTGGCAGTTTTGCTTAGGATACAACTCTTGGGAGATGGGTGGGGAAGGGGGAATGAGAGGAAGGACAGGCAATGCAAGGAGGGACACATTTTGTAAACGCACATATATGTTTAATGCCAGAAACACGATTTTCACAGGCAAGGGAGGTACTGATTTTTGATAAATCAAAGCAAAGACTCGGATGGACATCAACCAGAGGGGGTGCCATTTTCAAATGGGGTGTGGCAGGAGGAGTCAATTTTCCAACCATGCCAAGTGGCTAAGCAGCCTCCACCAGGCTCTGTGAGGGAGGAGACAGGCAGATGGATCGTAGAGGGAGGAAGGGAATCTTCTTTATTGACTGAAATCCCCAAACCAGAGGATCTGAATCACTGAAGCTTTGGAGATCTAGGCTGAGGGAGCTCTGATGAGGATAGAAAGCTAGGCAGATGAAGAGACATAGGCAGAGACCTAGAGAAAGGCTTTGAGAGGACAGGAAGTGGACAGCAGGTGATACAGAGCTTGAGAAGGACAGGAGGGGAAGGATACTGGAGTAAGGAATACTAGGGTTCAAATCGTATCTCTCTGTGTCTCAGTTTCCTCATCTGTAAAAATGACCAGGCTAGGTTTAATGGCCTCCAAAGTCCTTCCCAACTCTAAATCTGATCTATGAGTCAAGAAGAATGGAGAGGAGCTGAGAAATTGGAGCCGGATAGAAACTTAGGGACTGGAGTACAGTTTGTGCACTTTAAGAGGACACACTCAACCACCTTGATCCACGGGGGCTTTGTCCTGAGTCCAGATGGGAGGAACCAAGGAACTCCAACAGAACTGGTCATGAGCCCAAGGTTTGGGAAAGTGTCAAGTCAACCGGTCCCAGGCCAGCCAAAATGCTGACCTAGTCTCCGGGAAAGGGTGGAAATGGGTCTAGCTTTCAAGGCAGAGAAAGAATGGTTTGGCTTTCCCATCTCAGGGTTAACGGAGGTGTAAAATAATGGACCCCAAGCCTAGAATGTCCCTAGCACAGGTGTCTCAGATCTGGTTTCATTCTGTGTCTGAGGAACAAGACACAGGGTTCCAGCCCTGCAGATGAGATGAGGGGAATCTACGTGGAGATCGGAGACACAAGAGAAGTCAACGATACAGAAGTGGGAAGACCGAAAGAAAGAGAATAGGAGAGAAAATAGAAAGTGAGAATGCAAAGGTATGGAAAGACTGAACGGAAGAGAGAAAGAAGAGGGAAAGAAAGGAGAGAATGTGAGTGTCGAAGTGCGATGGGGATGAGTGTAGGAGAAGGAAAAGTAAGCAAGGGAGTGCGAGAGAACCAGAGGGACGGATAGAGACAGAGGTGAAACTGAAAAAACAGGAAAAAGAGGGAAGGTGAGGAAGGGAGAGACCCCAGGAGTGAGTCACAAGGAAAAGGAGAAGAGAAGAGATAGAGAAGGAAGCGGCTGCTCTTTCTCGCTTATGCTCAGAACTCCTTGCCCACCCCTCTGTCCCCTCTTCTCCCTGTTCCCCAGCCCTCCGCCCAGGGAGCGAGCGCTTTCGCAGGTGACCCACCTTTTTCCAGGGACAGATAGCGCGGAAGGAGGACAAATTCTCCCGGGCTCCTAGCTGTGAGGCCGGCCCAGGAGCTTACCTGTCCAGCGCCCGGGCAGCCCGAGGTAGCGGCGAGCGGTGTGCCTGCCGGGGCGCGGGAGGCTGAGGGGGCTGGTGCGCCTCCGAGAGCGCAGAGGAGACCGCTGGCGGACTAGCAGTGGGAGAATGTGCAGATGTGAGAGGGAGGGGAGGGGAGGGAGGAGGGGACCCGAGAGTGGGCAAGGGGAGGGGACACTGGGCGGGGGAGGGGCGCGCAGGGAGAGAGGACCGGGAGCCGAGTTACCCGGGGGGCGGGGGCGGGGGCGGGCTAGCAGCCACCAGCCGCGGGCCCAGGGGAGATCTGCCGGCTCGCCCACCTGCCCTACAATGCGGGCGGCGGCAGGGGGCCCGGCCGGCTCCCCCCGCGCGCTCCCGAGCCCCCGCGCGCCCCCGCCAGCTGCTCTCCTCCTGGCGGCTCCCCAGAGGCAGAGGCGCTGCGCGAAAGAGAGACTTGGAGACAAAGGGAGCAGACAAAGGGCGGCGCGGCCAGAGGCGTGAGGGGGACCGGCGGGGGCCCGAACCTCCCAGTACGTACGGCTCCAACTTGGCCCCCAACCCCATCCCCACCCCCGCCCCCACCTCCTGTGCTGGGGTCCCCGGGCAGGCTCTGGACCCCATACTGGGGACCCAGATGCTGGGGATGTGCAGCATCTGGGCCCAGAGCCGGCCCCCGGGCCCCTTCCCTTCCCCTCCCTTCCCCAAAGTGAACGGATGCCCAGAGCCGCGGGGGACGTGAAGCGGGACCCCAACAATGAGATCAAGGCAGCCCGCTCAGCTGGCGGGAGCGTCTGGCCGGGCCGGGGACTGGCGGTCCCCAAAGAGATTATCCCCTTTTTCCTGTCAAATGGAATGGAACAAATCAATGGGGGGAGGTGGGGGAGGACGGATGGAGGAAGACCAGTGGGGCCCTGGCGGAACATCAGAAAGTCAGAGTGGTGGAAGAAGGGGGTGGGGACCACCTTCCTAGGGCGTTACGCCTTGCTTTGGGGTGTGAGTGCGGGGTATTGCTGGGATTTTAATCTGAAGTGAGTAAGGAAGCACAGTGTGTGCCCCCCACCCCCCACCCTGCACACTTGGGCTGATAACCCTACTTTCTCGTCTCATTCCTCCTCCAGGTTGGAAGAGAAAAGGAGGGGTGAAGAGGGAAGAACATCTCTGGTTTCTCCTCTCTTTACACCCCTCCTCCCTGCCTCCCTTTCCTCTACTCTCCTCCCCTCTCCTTTCAGTCTGCCACCAAACCCATGGGGGCCAAATTAATGCCTCACACTTCCCGGCCCAACTATTGAAATCACTCAGGCCCTGAGCTCAGGACAAAGACCCTGCCCCAAGCTCATCCATCAAACTGCAGGGGAGGTAAGAAGGGGCTGCCACTGACTGGAAAATCCATCTCAGGCTCCTGGAAGCTGAAGCCCATGAGTCTCTCCACCTCCTCCCCCTCCCCAACCTTGGCTCCCACTTCCCAGCCAAAAGAATGTAGCAGCCCCTGACTGGGGGAAGGTGGAGAAGACTGGATTTATAGGTCCTCTAGCCCCCATAACTCATTGCCTGGGTCACTTGTGCCTTGTTTGGTGGTATGATCAAAGGATACTAGCAACTGGAGAGGATGGGGCAGGAGGGTTGGGGTGGGCTAGGTCCCCAGGCTCTTTCTCCTTATAGGAGGCATGGAAGTCAGGGAATCATTGGATTCCAAATCAATGGCGTTAGAACAAGAGGAATGAGAATTGTTTCTCTTTGGAACTGGGATAGAAGGCCCAGCTCAGACGTGTTAAGTCTGCTGACTTGAACTTCATTGCTTAATACCTTCTGAGGGACAATGTGAGCCTGGGGAATAGTCATGTAATTGATGGTAAACCAGGAAGGAGGGGAGAAAGAAGATGCTTATGGAAAGTTCACAGGCCAGCCAAGTGCAGACCAAAAAAGTCACATGGACAAAAGCCTGGCTGTAGCACTTGTGGGACAGTGGCTGTGATGTGATCTGTGCCTTGTTTCTTCTTTCTACAAATGGCAGGGTGTTGTAGTGAGGAAAGCATTCAAGGAGAAGGCAGGAGGAGGCCTGTCTCTGCCTCTTTGTGACCCTGGACAAGTCCCATGATCCCTCTGAGACTTGTCTGTTAAATGGGGGATTTGGACCTTAATTTCAGGGTCTCTTTCTATTAAAGGAAGGAAGGAAATAAACATTGAAGTGCCTCCTATATGCCAGGCACTGTGCTAAGCGCTTTACAAATATGATCTCCTTTGGGCTATGGATCTTTGTCTCTGTGAAATAAGTCCTATATCAGTAAGTACCTTGCTGAGGGTGTAGGTGAGGGATGGTCTTTGCACTGGCCTATGTTTCTTGGGGGAGCCTGATGCTACCGGCTTAAATGATGTTAGTGGCTCAGGTGAGAGGTAGCAGGAGCAGAAGGAGCTGGTTACGGAATAGACTCCTGAATACTCAGGGGCAGCTTTGCCTCAGCTGCCCAGGGAAAATAGTTATGGTGTTCCATTGGACCCCAGGGCCTCTTGAATTTAGACATAATGTGAATGATCCATGAGTGAGGGACACTTTAGCGCCCTCCCTTTGGAATCCCCTAGCCCGGGTTAGCTGATGAGGCTTGTTTGCCTTGGAAATACCTCCTGAGCTCAGAGGGCAGTCTTCTCTGTGTGTGTGTGTGTGTGTGTGTGTGTGTGTGTGTAAGAAAAGAAAGGACCTACAAGAGAAACAGCAGGTATGAGCGACGGTGTTGTATAGTAGAGTCAGACCTGGGTTCTATCCTGTAGGATAACCTTTAACCATTTAGAGGCTACCCTCTTTTTCTGCATCAGATCTAAGATTGTTGTTGTGTTGCATTCTAGGCACCAGATTTTAGGAAGAAGAGCTGGAGAACATCCAGAAGAGGAAGGTGGGGAGGGGGGAGGGAGGGAAATAAACATTTTTAAAGTGCCTATTATGTGGCAGGTACTGTACTAAGCACTTTCCAAATATTATCTTATTTGATCCTCACAACTATCCTGGGAGGTAGGTGCAGTTATGATCCTCATTTTACAGTTGGGGAAACTGAGACAGAGGTTAAGTGACTTGCCCAGGGTCACATATACTGTCTGAGGCCAGATTTGAACTCAGGTCTTCCTGAGTCCAGGCACAGCTCTCTATCCACTGTGCTACATAGCTGCCTCCGGAATAGGATGAACAGAACGATGAGGTGGACTGGAGGCCATGCTGTGCTAGAATCATAGCTATAGTACTGGAAGATGACGCCTCCGTGGGCATTCAGTTCAACCTCCTCTGTTCCAGATAAGGAAACAGGCCCAGGGCGGTTAATGACTTACCCAGGGTCACACAGGCAGAAGCTGGAATCAACTCAGGTCCCATCACTTTCTCAAAGCCTTCTTTAGGGCTCTCTCCAGGGTAGCCTCAGGATGACTTTCAAAGCACTGGAATTTAGCCAGGAAAAGGAAGACAGGCAAGGCATGGTGACTGATTTCCAGTCTTTGAAGGTCTGTGCTTCTCTGGGCCCCCAACTGGCAGTACAAGCTGTAGAGGGGACAGTTTAAGCCTAGTGTAAGAAAAAATTTCCCAACAATGAGAAAGGTTCCAAAGTGGGATAGGCCCCCCAAAGTAGGAGACAGTGGGGTCCCCCTGGAGGTCTTTAAGCAGAGGCTGGAGGACCACTGACCAATGGTGTTATAGAGAGCAGTTTTTGTTCAGGGCTGGGTTCAGCCAGAGTTATCTAGTAGAGAGAGAACTAGCCTCTTAGGGAGATCTGGGTTTAAGTTCCTCTTATGACACAGACTGCCTCCTTCCTTCTGGGCAAATCTCTATGACCAAAAATTGTACAAGAGCTGTGGGTTTGCACTGGTAGAGAGTTTCCATTCTGGGAGTTCCCTATATCAATGACATCCCAGGTTCCACTCCCACCCCTGCCCCCTGAGAAGGGTTGGGATCAGCTAGATAGCTGGTGAGGTCCCTTCCAATTTGTGAGAACACTCCCTTCTTTGGCTCAGATCACCACCCTTAGTTGGTCAGCAGAAAGCTGGCTCCTTGAAAGCAGGGACTATTGGGGCAGCTAGGTGGTGCAGTGGATAGAGCACTGGCCCTGAAGTCAGCTGAACCTGAGTTCAATTCTGACCTCAGACCAAACACTTGACACTTACTAGCTGTGTGACCCTGGGCAAGTCACTTAACCCCAATTGACAAAAAAAAAAAAGAAAGAAAGCAGGGACTATAAAAAACAAAAATCCTTTCTATCTCTAGTGCCTAGCACTGTGCTTTGCTATAATAATAACAGCTATATTTCTGTAGTGCTTTAAGGTTTGCAAAGTGCTTTGCATATATTATCTCACTGGATCTTCACAACAGCCCTGTTGGATAGGTTCTATATGTTGTCGCCATTTTGCAGGTGAGGAAACTGAGCTGAGAGATGTTAGGTGACTTGCCCAGGATCACATAACTAGTTAGTATCTGAAGCTATATTTGAACTCAGGTCTTCCTGACTCTGATTCCAGCACTTTATCTGATAACAGTCTGTTTCTTGTATATAGCAGGTGTTTAATAAATGCTTTTTTCAATCAAATTGAATGATGTTTGAAACTTGTGGTGGCCAAAAATACATCACCCAGTGGCCAACCTAGTGATGATCATAGGATCGTTGATATAGATACGGGGGTCATCTAATCCAACCTAATTTTACAGCTGAAACTAAAGCCCCCTTTCAGGTCATCCATCCATCCATCCATCCATCCATCCATCCATCCATCCACCCATCCATCCATCCATCCACCCATCCATTTAGTCAGCTATCCATCCATCCATCCATCCATCCATCCATCCATCCATCCATCCATCCATTCATTCATTCATCCATCCATCCACCCATCTATCCCTTCAACAAGCAGACAAGCCACAAGCTTCATGTGAGGTTTGTGGCTCCATTGTTCCCACCCTCTCTGCTTTTTCATTTCCAGTTTCCATTTTAAAATCTTCTTGAGTGTTTTCCCCTCAGGGCCCTTCCACATTTCCCCAGGGAGCTGATTGCAGTTGGCAAATACTCTCTCTCCTCCCAAACATTTAGCCTTTTATCCTAGACTCCCTCCTACCTAGTTATCATGGAAAATGTGCAAATTATCTCAGATAACGTTCCACCATGCAAAGGATGTTTCAGACTGTCATAAATTAACTCCAAATTCAATCTAGACACCATGACCATCCATCAGCATGATATAATCAAGCTCAAGAGGAATCAGATTACAGTGACCCAAATGGGAATAACTAATGTCCTTTCCTCAAAGTATCTGCCCTCTGGACAATCTCCCTTCTCCCTTGTTTGTTTACAATCTGTGCTTTTCCCAAATCCCTGCCAGGTGAGGGTTTAGCATCTGGGTCTCATCTTTCCTAATTCTGCCACTTAGTATCATTTCCTCTGTCTTCTATGGATTCAAACCCCAGGGTCAATGCTTGGAAGACAGGAGAGCCCCCCAGCTCTCCCCTTAACTATCTATGTGACCCTGGACAAGTCACTTCTTTTCTCAGGGTCTCATGAGATGATAGATTTAGATCTGGAAGGCACACTCTATTCCAGAGTATGTGAATTTAGATAGGAAAAAAAATCACATCTTTATTTTTACTAACCTTTAGCTGAAATTTAGCATTTCCTTCAATTATGAATTTGTTTCAAAAACATACTTCCGAGAAGGAGGCTGTGGACTTCACCAGACACTGCCAAAGGGCTCCAAGATACTAATAAAGGTTAAGAATCTTTGATCTTGTCCAACACCCAAATTTTAGAGATGGGGAACTGAGGCTCAGGATTATCAAAATAAGATATATCTATCTGTACTGAATCATAGTTCTAGAAATAGAAGGGGGCTCAGAGGTCATTTAGCACCCCACCCCCCATTTTACAGATGAAGAAATGGAGGTTCAGAGCAATATATTGACTTGCTGCAGGTCATACAAGCTGAGGTTTAAACACAGGTCTTCTAACTCCAAGTCTACTGGTCTTTCCATTGCCCCTGGTCCTGAAGTCCAACCTAAAGTGTCAGAATAAAGACAAACAGGGTCAACACCTCAAATCCCCAAGTCCCCACTTGGATTTGTTTTCTTTCTTTGTAAAACCAGGAGATTGGATTCTGACTTCTGTCTTTTTCAATACGGTGGGAGATTGATTCCCATAAATACCCGGAAGGCAAAGGTTCATATGCCAGATGGTTGAGATTGGAGGTGGGAGGGAGGCAGTTCTAGCTGGATGTAGATTACAGAATGAGGAGAGGAAAAGATGGTGGCAGAGAGAAGGGAAAGAGGAATCAGGAGCCTCCTGGAATCGGCTTCCTGAGAATTATGGTAGTTGTCTCATAAGGGCCCTAAAGCTAAGAACCCTGAGCCCCCCAGTAATGCAGGGACTAAATAGGTTGAAGGGAGACAAAGGAAGGCTTTCCCCTTGAAGACTACAGTCATAAAAGTCATACTAAACTTCAAGAGGAGCAAATGGGCTCGTTCCTCCATATTTAGTTGGTTTAGTCAAAAGACTGATCTTTCGAGTATGTGTAATGAGACATGGCATAATTTTAGGGGATCCAAGGAAAAGTCTACTTAATTCTAAACTACATAAGGAAATGTAAGGAGCCCTGGATTTGGAGTCAGAAGAGTTAGGTTTGCGTTCCACTTCCTCTCTGGGCCTCGGTTTCCTCCTCTGTAAAATAAAGTGACTAACTGGGTGATTTTGAAGGTTCCTTCTGGTTCTTGACCCTATGTAGTCCAGCCTCCTCAATTTTATGGAGAAAGAAAGCAAGGCTTAAGCAGCTTGCTTGGGGGGTCACAGAGGTAGTAGTCAGGATTTGAACCCAGCTCTTTTTGACTTCAGAACTGCCATTCATTTCACTATACTACTATGACTCCCTGGGGGATAAATTGCCTTCTCCCATTAACCCCACAATCCTTTCCTTCCAGTGGGTCAGCAGGAAAGCAAATACTCCTGGGAGGGGTCACAATCAGGCAATCATCAGCACCTAGTATTAGGCACCTACTAAGTGCCAGGCGCTGGAGACCTAAAACAAGGAATGGAAAAGTCCCTACTCCCATGGAGCTTATATTCACCCTCACAAGTGAAAGTGTTAATGAACTTTGAACTGCTGCCTTACATAAATGTGAATACCCTTTGGCTAAAGGCTAGAGATAGACTTCCGATAAGGATGAGCAAATATTCCAGGTTAGATTCCTGAATTAGCAGTTTGATCGTTAACCTTTCTATCTGTGGTGACCTGGGGAAAATAATTTAATCTCTGTAAAATGAACTGGTTGGTCAAAGGTCAATCAATCAACAAGAGTTTATTAAGCATCTGCTACGTGCCAGGCCTGTGTTAGGAGCTGGGAATACAAGTACAAAAAATAAAACAATCCCTATTCACAATGAGTTTACGTTGACTTAATACACGTAAAGCATTTTATAAACCCTAAAAAGCGCTACATGAATGCTACTTGTTGTTATTATTTTTTTTTAGCCAAAGACAAGAACATTATTAGAACATCCGTCATATTGGGCAGACTCTTGAGGAGTCTGACCATTAGTAAGCTATTGGCTAGATTATAAGAATCTGAGCCAGTTGTTACTATTTTTAAAAAATAAAATTTTATTGGGGGCAGCTAGGTGGGGCAGTGGATAGAGCTGTAGCCTTGGGGTCAGGAGGACCTGAGTTCAAATTCAGTCTCAGATACTTGACACTTACTAGCTATGTGACCCTGGGCAAGTCACTTAACCCCATTGCCTAGCCAAAAAAAAAAGGAGTACAAAAATAAAATTTTATTTATATCTTTCGTTTTTTACATCGACTAGATTTCCTGTTGTATCTATCTGCCTCCCCCTCCCCTAGAGCTATCCTTTATAACAAAGAATTGAGGTTACATTTTAATAAGGGAGACAATGAATACATACAAAAATATATCCACCATAAATATAAAGTTAATAAATACAAACATAACAATAATAATAGCTAACATTTAAGGTTTGCAAAGTTATTTACATATGGTATTTCATTTGATCCTCACAACAACCCTGCGAGCTAGGAGCTATCGCTATGCCCATTTTACAGCTGAGGAAACTGAGGCCGAGGTTAAGTGACTTGCCCAGTGCCCGTATTTAGTGCATTGCTAAGTATATACAAGGTAGTTAGCTAGTAAAGTCGTTTGGGAAGGAAGAATTGGGGGGATGTTGAAAGAAAGGCTTCATGTAAAAGATAATAATAATAACTAACATGTAGCGCTTACTATTTGATCGCTTTACAAATAAAATCTCACTTGATGATCTCTAAGGTTTCTTTGGCTTGGGGACAGGGCTTGTAAAGCATCCCCGGCTTCGCGGCTCCTTCCCACCTGGCCAGATGTCGCCAGCATCCCCGCCGCAGGAGGCTCCGCGGAGCGCGAAGGGGAGGGGCGGGGAGAGGCGTTGGCGCGGGCCCGGGATAGGGGCGGAGCCCGCTATCTGGCGGGCGCTAGGACCCGGTGGGAGGCGGTGGGACGTCACCCCGCCGCGCGCCTGGAAGAGCGGGGTTCCGCGCTGGGGCCGCGGGTAGAGAAGGAGCTGGAGGCGAGCCGGAGCCGGAGCCGGAGCCGGAGCCGGAGCCGAGCGTCTGGGTTCGTTCGCCCCGCGCTGAGTGCCAGCAGCCGGTACTGGTCCCCTGGGGTCGAAGGGAGGAGGGGTGCCGGGCGGGTGGGCATTGTATAGCGGAGAGGGGTGCAGGGCGCTGCCCAGCTGCTGCTGCCGCTGCCAGTGTGCCCGCTGTGCCCTGGACCCGCCGCCGGAGCCAGATGTGCACTGTCCGAGCGCGGCAGGGAGGCTAGCAGCCTTTCCCCTTCCCAGATCGCCCTCCTTTCCAGGATGCTTCTCCCCCGCCGCCTCCACGGCAGCTGCATGTTCCGGGGGTCCTCATTTTCAGGCGACCCTTCTAGGGGCGCCCCTTCCTGCCTCCCACCTCCTCCGACCCCCCACCATCCTGGAAATCCCAGGAAGGGAGACGTGGAGACTGAACTTTCCTGGGCCCTCTTCTGCCTGCAGACTTGGGCGTGGGAGGGCCTGGGTCCAGATGACCGGTTTAGGCTTGGCAAACGCGAGCCCCTAGCTACACTCCAGGCGCCTGGAAGAAGGGGGCCATGCTCATTTTACCGTGGGACCCCTCTCCCTCCCCAGAAACCTGGTCACCCGTCCCTACTACCCTCGTGTTTGTTTGGTCCCGCGACTCTGGTCAATTTTTCTTAAACTTCCTGGAGGCTGGAGACGGTTTCATTTCATTTTTTTTGTCTTCTCATCCCCATCCCTTACACAGAATTGGCTTCTGAGGCCTTAGAGTGTGGGAACCTGGAGGGTGAAGGCTAGTCTGCTCACTCATTTATTCAATAAACGTTTATTAAATGCTAACTACGTGTACTAGGTACTGGAGATACCAGAACAAAGGCAAAATGAAACAGTCCCTTCCCTTGAGGAGCTCATATTCTTATAGGATTGTTAGGAATCAAATGAAATAATACATGTGAAGCACTTTGCAAACGTCGCTATATAAACGTTAGCCATTATTATCATTGTTATTATATAGGAATATCATTGCAGCCTAGGCTGTCCTAACGGTGTCTCCAGCTGTTAGGATTCAGGGGAGTAATAGGGATGGTGCTCAGCAGTAGGGTTTTGTAGACTTTCCTTTACCATTTGGAAGAAGGGATCAACAGCAGTCTGAACCCACCAGTCTGGGTGGCAGATAAAGTCTCCGCTGGAAGTATAAGGGCTTCTTGAGTTCTTAATTCAACTTTAATTAATTGTATAAGTTTGATAATTTAATAATAATTTTCTTTATTTATATAAATTTAAATCTGTATAATAATAATAATAATTTAGGGTTCTATTTCTTTACCTATGTGGATCTAAGCACCCCTTTGCCCCTTTGGGTTTGGTGGGCCAGTGGGTACAATTAGGCTGAGCCGTAAGAGACTATGCCTTCTTTCTCCTCTCCCAGGTGGCCAGAAGAATGACCACTCTCACTCGGCAGGACCTTAACTTTGGACAAGGTAAGAGCTCTCAGTTTTTCAGGGGCTCCTGCTGGAGAGCTGACGCCAGGCTGGCTGTGGTGTTGGGGTCACTGGGTGTGAATCTTGCCCGTTGCTCACCCAGAAGCACCTCAGAGCGTGTTTCTCTGTTTCCAGTGGTGGCTGATGTTCTCTGTGAATTCTTGGAAGTGGCTGTGCATCTCATCCTCTATGTCCGAGAGGTTTACCCTATTGGAATCTTCCAGAAGAGAAAGAAATACAATGTGCCTGTCCAGGTAGGGGATAGAGCTGTGAGGATATTTGGCTCTTGGTCAACTCATTTTATGAGGGACATTGTTGATAAACTCACTTGGGTCCAGGGGGAGGAGGGGACGAGGGGACAGGAGAGCATGCCGTATCGGTGTCATTTCAAACACGCTTGCCAGATGTCTATTTTCATAGATCAAAGGATGCCTACGTGGAAGGGGGGTTTTGACTTCTTCTTTTGGCCCCAAAAGATAGAACCAGGTGAAAGTGGCAGAGAGGCAGATTTTGGTTGGATATAAGGAAAATTTTCTAACAGCTGTTGAGAAGCAGGGTGGACTTTTTTAGGGGATAGTGGGTGCCTTGTGACTAGGAAATCGTCAAGTGGAAGCTAGATGCTCACTTTTGGGGGTGTCATAGCTCCACAGCAGGAAGGAGCCCCAGGGATTATGTGATTCAATCCTCTTCGGTTTAGAGGTGAAGAAACTGAGGCCAACAGAGGTGGCATGGCTCTTCTCTTGTATCCCCAGCACTTGTACTGTGCCTGGCAAAAGTAGGTACTTAATAAATGTTTATCGAATTGTCCAAGGTCGGGAAGGTAGTCAATAAACATTTATTAAGCACCTACTTCGTGCCAGGCACTGTACTTAATGCTAGGGATACAAATAAGAACAAGAATGACAGTCCCTACCCTCAACAAGCTTACAGTCAAATGGAAGGGAAGGAAGCCGGCTTAGCTGGGGAAGTTCTGAGTTCAATAAAGGAAGGCTTTGTGAGGAGTTTGCTGCCCCTCCCTCCAGTCCGTGGGGAGGGGCAGCTGTGGTGATGAATGTCCAGGCTGGATTAATTTCCAGGATGATGAGATTTCAGGTGATGAGCTTACCCTGGGGGAGACCTGGTGTTCCAGAAAAGCAGTTGATGGGAAATGAAAAGCGGTCACTGACTGCATTTCCAACGTAGTTTCTCCTGCTCCCTGATTTGATGTCTCTTGGGGAAAATGACATGGATGTAGGAAATACAGAACAAATACAGGATAGCATTTCAGGGGGAAGTATTTAGCAGCGGAGGGATACAGGAAAAGCCTTGCGTCAAGCTCCCACACTTGGAACTGAGCCTTGAAGGTGTTGGTGGGATTAGATCACCTCTGAGCTCCTTCCAAGTCCGTGGTTCCGAAAGGAAGCTTCAAAAGAAATCACTAAACAGTAGCACCTTGCTGGGGACTAGAAGCAGTCTTAAAAAATAACAGCTAGCATTTATGTAGAGCCTACTGTGTTCCAGACGCTGTGCTCAGTGCTTTCCAAATATTATCAGATTTGATTCTCAAAACAACCCTGGGAGGTGGGGACTATTATTATCTTCATTTTGCAATTGATAAAACTGAGGCAAATAGAGGGTGAGACAGGGTCAGATGGCTAGTAAGTATCTGAGGATTTGAACTCAGGTCTTCCTGACTCTAGGCCCAGTAGGATACCTAGCTGCCTTGATCCTGGACTTCCACGGTGGGTTAGAGAGTTCGGGAGATGAGGGAGGCTCCAGGAATCCTCAATGGGTCTTTGGAGAAATATGGTGGGGGTTGGGGGCGGGGGCAGACCTGTGTCTTGGGTTTCTTTGGGATTCCTTCTTGGCACAGGTTTGACTAGCTGCCCTCTTCAGTCTTTCCCACCTCTGAGATTCTTCTAATCTGTGGAAGTTTTTAGAGTCCTGTTCTGAGAAAAGGAATGTCCCAGGTGAGAAAGGAAGAACAGTGAAAGCTGAGCTTCACCCTCTTGTCTTGGAGGGCTTCCTGACTTTTCTCCTGAGCCCTCGAGCCCTGGGAAGCTGACCGCTGGTCCTTCCTTGGCATCTGAGATCCCCAGATCCCTCCATTTTTCCTGACCCACTTAAAAATGAAATCATCCTTCCCCTAATCTCCTCTGAAATTGTTGACTGGGAAAGAAAAAATTTCCTAGATGATCTCAGGGAGAGAAGACAGCTAAGTCAGAGAAGCTACCCAGAAAATTGTTCTTTCATTCATTAAGTCTCCTTGTCTCTGAGTGCCTGGTTGGGCTTTAACCAATCCTAAACCTCCCTTAATGTCGCCTAACCAGATTTGGAATGGGAAAGAGATAGGAAGCGTCCACCCCCTCCAATGCTGGGGCCATAATCAAATCAGCTACTGCTGTGGTCCATGGAAAGAATGTGTCAATCTACTGCTCTTTGTTGGCTCGCTCCACCATAACTTTCCTAACCAAAATGGCCCTCCCTGGTCACTACTCCCTTTTATATGCTCTCTTCCCCTTATTTGATAGGAGCAAACACAACAGTTGTATTTCTTTATCCTTCCTCCCTTCTTCCTCTACCCCCTAACCCCACCCAACTTGGAAAAAAGGTAATAGATGGATAGTGTAAGATCAATCAACATTTATTAGTATTGTTATTATCATGGACCTACTTTGCACCAGGTGCTGGGGATACAGAGGCAAGTAAAAGAATCTTGCCCTCAAAGGGTTTATATTCTTTTTGGGAAAACAAACATGTGTGCATGTATATACAAAATAAATACAGGATAATACTGCAGGGTGATATGGGCAGCTGACATAGGTGGGAGGTGGGGGGAGGTGGCGGGGATAGTACGCAGAGCTCACTGGTCTGGCCTGGAGTCAGGAAGACCTGAGTAAAAACCAGCCTCAGACATTTACTAGCGAGTCACTTTACCCTGTTTGCCTCAGTTTCCTCATCTGTAAAATGAGCTGGAGAAGGAAATGGCAAACCGCTCCAGTATCTCCGCCAAGAAAACCCCAAATGGGGTCATGAAGAGTTGGACACGACTGAAAAACAACTGAACAATATTACAGGGGAATGCACTGGAGACTGAAGGATTCAGGAAAGGCCTCTGGGTTCCCACATAGGGCTTTTTGGCCCTATTCTGATTTTGAGAATCAGGTGAAGCTTGAAGCCCTCAGAGAAGCAGCTGGCATAGGGAGTAGAGAGCTGGCCCTGAGTGCGGTTCCGACCTCTGACACCTACTGGCTGTGTGACCTTAGATGAGTCAAGACTTTAGTGTCAGAGAAGATGAAGGGGCTGATCTGCTTTGGTGGAGGGAGTGCTTTTTTCCCCTTTGAAGAGTGGAAGTCGAGTCTTAAGAAGGATAGAAGATCTTCCCACTTTGCACAGCAGCGAGAAAGCATGGGATCTCCCCTCCTTGATGACAGCGTGGCTTCATTTTGTCTCTCTAATCCCATTTCCTAGCCTATTCCCTGACATGTAATGGATGAAGACATCAAGCCCTGAGTTCAAATCTGGCCTCAGATACTTACTGTCTGTGACTGTGGGCAAGCCACTCACCCTCTGTTTGCCTCAGTTTCTTCAGCAGTAAAGTGGAAATAATAATAGCACCTCCCTCCCAAGGTTGTTGTGAGGATAAAAGAAGATCACATTTGTAAAGCACCATGTAAAGGCTTACTGTTAATAATGAAATGCTGTTCTAGGATGGAGACTGATGTTTTTTGTAGTTGTAATTTTTTTTTTGTTAAATTGAATTAAGTTGGAGCTCAGGTGGTATGAATGGATGAAAAGCATTTATTAAACACTGACTGTGTTTAGTATAAATACAGAATCAAAGAAGCTTAGATTCTAATGGGGGAGACAACATATGGAAGGGTTTTGTTGTTGTTCAGTCTTTTCAGCTGTATCTGACTCTCCCTGACCCCATTTGGGGTTTTCTTGGAAGAGATACTGGAGTGGTTTGCCATTTCCTTTTCCAGTTCATTCTATAGATAAGGAAACTGAGACAAGCAGGGTTAAGTGACTTGCCCAGGATCACAGAGCTAGTAAGTGTCATAGGCTGGATTTGAATTCAGGGCTTCCTGACTCCAGGCCTGGCTCTCTGTGCACTGTGTCACCTAGCTCCCCTTGGAAGGGTTAACATTAAGGGAAAATTGGGCTTATTGGGAGGGTATCCTTGTGAGAGTGGTGGTGTCCCCAGTGGTGAAGGATGGCTAGGCCTTCTTCTAAATATCTCCATTGTCCCCTCATTAAAGATAGAACCTTGAACTGTTCTAGGGTGGTAGCCTTTAAATCTTTTTTTTTTTTTTTTTTTGCTAATGCCACAGTATTCTTTGCCTTCAGGGCATGCGGAAGATTTTTTTTTCTATTTTTAAAAATATATTTTCATTTATTTCATTAAATATTTCCCAATTATGTGTAAAAATATTTTTAACAATCATTTTTCAAAAATTTGCATTCCAAATTCTGTCCCTCCCTCCTGCTGCCTTTCTCCCCTCCTTGAGAAGGCTGATTTGATATCAGTTATGCGTGTGTAGTCTTTCAAACTATATTTCTGTACTAACTGTGTTGTAAAAGAAAACGCAGAGAAAAAAAATATGCTTTAATCTGCATTCAGAGCTCATCAGTTCACTCTCTGGAAGTAGATAGCATTTTTCATCATGGATCCTTTGGAATTGTCTTGCATCATTGTCTTGATCAAAATTGCTAAGTCATTCACAGTTGATCATCTTTACAATGTTGCTGTTACTTTGCACAATGTTCTCCTGGTTCTGCTCACTTCACTCTGCATCAGTTCATGTGAGTCTTCCCAAGTTTTTCTGAAGCCATCCTGCTCATCATTTCTTATGGCACAATAGTATTCCATCACATTCCTATACCAGAACTTATTCAGCTATTCCCCAATTGATGAGTATCTCCTCAATTGCCACAAGGAAAAGTTTTTTAACAGTAATCTATTTTTAATTTTTTTTCCACTTAATAGTATTTTGTTTTTCCAATTACAAGTAAAGATAGTTTTCAACTTTCATTTTTATAAGATGTTGAGATCTGAATTTTTTTTTCTCCCTCCTGAAGATGGCAAGCAATCATGTTAAACATATTTCCACATTGGTCGTGTTGTGAAAGAAGAATCAGAACAGAAGGGAAAAGCTATAAGAAAGAAAAAACAAACAAAAAAAGGGAAAATAGTATGCTTTGATCTGCACTCACACTCCATAGTTCTTTGGATGTGGATAGCATTTTCCACCATGAGTCTACAAAAAAAACCCTCTATAAATATTTTAGTACGTATAGGTCCTTTTCCTTTTCCTTTGATCTCTTTGGAGTACAGACCTGGTGATGGTATTGCTGGGTCAAAGGGTTTGCACAGTTTTATAGCCCTTTGGACATAGTTCCAAATTGCTCTCCATGCTGAAGATTTAAATTGGCAGCTGGGAGGCATGTGATACATACACAAAGTTTTCCCCTCACTAAGAGCTGCCATTTTTGTTTCTTGTGAGTTCAAGGCTCTGTGTGTTCTGAGGTGTCTTGAGCCTATGGGTAATGGGCAAATTGTGTTTTTTTTTTTTTAATTTTGTGAATACTTGACTCACTTTGGTGCATATGCTGGTAAAGTCAAATTTATATAAAAATTATTTACAAATGACCCTTTACCTCTGATTACATGCAACATTTTGTGGCACACCCGACAACATGGCATGCCCATTGATAACCACTGACCCAGGGGAGATGAGGGTGGGGATAGCAGTTCTTGGGCCCCTCCATTCCACCCTTATTCCCTTTCTCTTCTTCCTTGTTTCTTCCTTGGCTCTGTTGCAGTCAGATTGCTTGTGGCTTTAGGGCAGAGATAGTTTTACTCTTTTTTGGTCTCTGTATCCTCAGCATCTGCTCTGTGTGCATAGTCGGAGCTTAATAAATGCTGAGTGATTATCCCAAGGACCTCTTTCTTGGTTCTTCTATGAACAGATGTCCTGCCATCCGGAGCTGAATCAGTACATTCAAGATACCCTACACTGTGTTAAGCCATTGCTGGAGAAGGTGAGTAGTAATGGTGCTGCCCCTGCCCTCCAGATTCCCCAATCCCTCTGGTCCTTTCTCACTGCCTCACTTGTGCTTCTCTGGGGGTCATGGATTCTGGCTGAGCTTTGAGACGGGTCATCTGACTAGATCTAGGGCTGAAGGGTCCTTAGAGATCATCTAGTCCAGCCTCTTCATTTTACAGTCTGATAAACTGAGACCTAGATGGGTTAAAATGGCTTACCCAAATTCACAGAGGTAATAAGTAGCTGAGTGGGGATTTGAACCTGGGTCCTCTGTTTCCTCTTCTCTGAAATGAGACAGTAAATAGTCTCTAATGCCCCCTCTGCCTCTAAAGCTATGATCCTCTGAATCCAGATGCAGCCCAGCTTTTTGTCTCCTGCGCCATATTTCTCTCATGTATTGGTTACATGATATACAGAGGTGCAGGATGGCACAATGATAGAGAGCTGGCCTGACACATACTGGCACGATGGCCTTTGGGCAAACCAGGATTGGTACCTCTTGGTGCCCAGGCAACTCTCTTTGGCAAGGTAAAGAACAGTTGATATCTGCATAGGTGAAGGGAGCTTCCTTACTAGGTGGTATCGAATGAAATCACAAACACACACACACACACACACACACACACACACACACACACACACACAGTCAAAATTCAATGCCCAGATTGCTCTACTGTGTGCCTTCCCCCCACCACCATTATCTTCCATTCACATCGTCTGCACATAGTTGTTCTCTCCCATTGGGAAGCCAAGTCCTGGAGTGCAGGGGCTGGTTTTACTTTTCTTTTTATCCTTAACCCTTAGCATAGTGCCTGGCACATAGAAGGCACTTAATAAATGCTTATTGACTTGATTGTTGACTGACTTCAGGAGTAGAAGGCAGTAAAAGCAGCGGTCTTTGGGCACCGACTGACTTTAGGTGATTTTCGTAACTCTGACCTATGGAGGGACTTGGAGGTTTGTGTTCTGGGTCTCTCTGCCTGCTGTGGGATGCCTGGGAAGGATGTGGGTGCTAAAATGCTGGTTTCTAAATTGTTATGGTTGCTGTGGTTGATGTTGCTGTGGGATGGGATGACCTCTGTTTGCAGAATGATGTGGAAAAGGTCGTGGTGGTGATTTTGGACAAAGAGCACCACCCAGTGGAGAGATTTGTCTTCGAAATCACTCAGCCTCCCCTGCTTTCTATCAGGTAAGCCCAGAACTCTGGGACTTTTGCTGGGAAGATTGCTGGGATAAAGAAGAACGTGGTCTTAGAAGGGAGAACTTAGGAGCTTAGAACACTGTTAAAATGTTAGAGCTAGGTGGGACCCTTAGGACCCAGAATAATAGAACTTAGAGGGATCCTAGCTCAGAAAATGTCAGAGAGGAGGAACCTTAGACTAGAGAATGTCCCAACGTGGGATGTCTGATAGAACCAGAAAGGACCTCATCACAGAGAACATTGGGGTTCTTGACTTGACCCCATGAGCTTATTTTCTAATAATCTGATAACCACATTTCAGTAGAAGTGGCTTTTTTTATAGTCCTATGTGTTTTATTTTTTAGGCATTTAAAAACATGGTTCTGAAAAGGGGTCTGTCCACAGACTTCCTCAGACTGCCAGAGGGCCTGATCTAACCTCCAGATTTTAGGGGTGAAGAACTGAGGCTGAGGAGGGTCAAAGAAGGGCATACCTATGTGTAGCTTGGCATTCTCATAGGATCTTAGGGCTGTATCTAGAAGGGAGCTCAGAGGGATCTAGGACTTCCACTACCCAATTTTACAGAGGAAAAAAAGGCTGGAAGGTAAAGTGATTTATCCAAGGTCACCAGGGAGCAGAGTGAAGATTTGAACCCATGTCTTCAATTCTCCTCCTCTTGTTTTTTGTCCCCATCTAGCAGTATCGTGCTAAAGCCCCATACTGATGTGCTTAGGAGACCCAAAAAATGGGGCAGACTGATGGAGGGGACCCAGAACCCTTCGGTAGACTCCACTTATGTGGCTTTAGTGAAAAGACCACCTGACCTGGGTGTCAGGGATTTTGGGTTCCAGTTTCATCTCTTCAAGTGGCTTCCTGTCTCTGGGCCCTAGTTTCTCCATCTGTAAAAGGAGGAGAATTAACTGAGATGATCTTCCAAGGCTCCAGCCTGACTTTCACTGGGTGGGTGAGGCCTGTTGGTGAAAACTCCCTCCAGCGCACACAGGGGGGTCACCAGCTCCTCTCATTCCCAGCTCAGACTCTCTGCTGTCCCATGTGGAGCAGCTGCTTCGTGCCTTCATCCTGAAGATCAGCGTCTGTGATGCCGTCCTGGACCACAACCCCCCAGGTAGGCCCTGTTGAGGGTTCTGACTCCTGGGCTTTGGGTGTTTGCTGGTTTTTTTCCTGTCTGTTCTCTCCTGGATTGGAGCCCATCCCGTTGGGCATCTGTCCCTGGACCACAGTTCCCAGGTAGGCCCTGTTGAGTGTTCTGACTCCTGGGCTTTGGGTGTTTGCTGGTTTTTTTCCTGTCTGTCCTCTCCTGGATTGGAGCCCGTCCCATTGGGCATCTGTCCTTGCGGATGGGCCTGCAGGGGAGCTTCCTGGAGGCTGTTCCTCAGGCTGAGCTGAATTCCCCCGAATGCTCCTGGGGGTGCACACACCTTGGTCCAGTGCCACACATGCTCCAACCCAGCCCATCACTCTGCCTCTTTCATGAAGCCATTTGTACCCCTCCCATTCTTCAGAGCCTAGCTTCCCCCTTGCCACCTCCTGGAAGTCTTCCAGGATGGACTTATTCCTCCTGGGTTCAATCACACCATCCACTCTCCTTTAGTGTGGCTGTAGTCTATTTCCACTGTGACCATTTCTACTTATATACGTTCATGCAGGGCTCTTTTGTAAAAAGAGACTGTCTTTAAGTCTTTCCACATCTATATTTAGTCTTCATTAGACCAGGGAGTGCCAAAAGGACAGAGGCTTTGAGTGGGCTCAAGTGGGGATGGCCTTGAAGGAAACTGGCCTTGGATATTGGGTCCAGCTGTGCAGGCCCCGGGTCATTTTACTGTGAGTATTCAGAGGCCAGAGCACTATGCTAGAGCTCGACCAGCTGGGGAGGCCAGATGGAAAGGAGACAGGAGCGTGATCAGGCTTCCTCTCAGGAGTACCACCCTTCCCTTCCTGCTTTGATATGTCCCTTCCTCCCTGATGCAGGCTGCACCTTCACTGTCTTGGTCCACACGCGGGAAGCAGCCACACGAAACATGGAGAAGATTCAGGTGATCAAGGTGAGTTCTGGTCTGTGATGGTAATGTCTTGAGGACATCCCGTCTCTAGTTTTGCTTCTGACAGGACTTGCTGTGTGACCTTGGAGCGGTCTGTTTCCCTCCCTCCACCTGATTCCTCACCTGTGAACCACTGAAGTCAGTATGAATGAGTGAATGAAAAAGCATTCATTAAGTGCCTGCTGTGTGCCACGCACTGTGCTGTGTATCCACTGGGGAGACGAATACCTAAGAGAGATAACCTTTAGCCTCTGGGGGATACAACACATTTGGGGATGGAGGCCAGGAAAGGAAGAGGATTGTGGTCTGAGGATCGCAGGGATTCAGAATGGAGCCGTAAGTCAAGACTGTCGTGCCCATTCCAGAAGGTGGTGTTGATGTGATTAGTGTATCCCAAGACAGTGAGAGGGGTTAGGGAAGATGGTGAGACACTTGGGGTGGCTGGACAGGATGAGAAACATGGTTTAGAGCTGCCTGGATATATAGTGGGTTGGCTGAGTTTGGACTACCTTGTGTACTCTGGACAGTCCAGCCTCAGACCAGCAGGTCCAAAGCTGAGTGGATGAACTCCCAGGTAGGAGGGGCATGGTCTCTGGGTACAAGGGGTGGATAACGTAGGGCAAGTGGCAAGCTGCCCAGTGTCTGAAGCACAGTCAGGGACCTGCTAGGTAGATAATGGTGGGTTGGGCGAGTTGACCTTTACTCACCAATCAGGACCACTCAGTACTTCCAGGGTCTGGGATTTTGTGGGGAAGGAAAGGGGCGGTGACTATAGAGTCTGCTGCTTGACTTTGGCAGTCACAATGCTAAGGAGTTGTGCAAGAATCCTAGTGGGATGGGGGGACCATCCTTGGTGAGCTCAGGGAGGGTGGCAGATGAGATTTGAACTAGGTAGATAGGCAGGGATGGGTTGACATCTGTCCCATTGGAGGGATCACAGATACAATGGCATATGGGAGTGGTCCTCTCTCCCCTTCCCAGCTTAGCAGGTGATTCTCTGCCCAAAACAGTCTGTCTGCTCTGTGGCCGGCTGAGTGATGAGCCTCTGTCTCTGGGCCTTTACGGGAATAGGCGGTCCTGTCAGAACCAGCCATTTCTTAAGCCAGTAGGAGACACCCATAAAATGGGAAGGAGAAAAACATCCTTCTGGTATCACAGGGCTGGTGGGAGAAGAGGGGTGTGGGTGCACTTCAAAAGGAAATCTGTGGGATCTAAGCCTAGCCCTTGTTCGAGGTCCAAGCCCTTTCATCCCCCAGCACAGTGCCTGGCACACAGTAGGTGCTTAATAAGTGTTTATTAAATTTTAAAAAATTATTAATGACCCACAGTGTGCAAAAGGTGGGTAGTGGTATGATTGGGGGGGCCACTTGGAAGGATAAAGAGCTTATGGACCCTGTTGACATATGGCTGGGGGAAACTGAGGCCCTGCTTAGAGAGATTATGAGCTCCATGAGGGTCAGATCCATGACTTAATAGAGAGAGAAGAAACAGCTATAAAATTAGTCAACAAGCTTTTATGAAGCACCTACTCTGTAGAGGCGCTCTGCTAGACACAAGGGAAACCAGTCAGAGCATATTAGGAAATAACCGTGACACAAAAAATCTGTGGTAAGTGCACTAGAGCAGAGGTTTCTGAAGTGGGGGGATACAGCCCACCTTGGGGAATGCTGGAACGATCCAAGGGGGCAGTAGCAGCCTCAGGTGCAATTGGGGGGCGTTGAATAAAAATAAGGGGTTGGTGGAAGCATAAGGAAAGAAGAGGTAATAAAATTTTGAAAAACTGTTCATACATGTTTCATCTGTTATGTAACAGTTAAAGTTGTAGTGATTATATTATTTTCCAAATAAACACACAAAATGCAAGTTATAACAGATCAGTGGTCAAGTCTGCTGACAGGTCTTAACGAGCAAGTGTTGACGGGTGAGCATGTTGTATATTGTCGGGAAGTCCAGCCTGCATGGGCAGGAATATGCATGGGTAATAACTTGTTTGCAATATGATACTATATGGTTTCATGATACAATATTGCGTCATCAAAATTTCAATGCAGGAAAAAAAAGCCCATAAATTTATAATAAATTATTAAATTTAAGATGCGTCGTTTTAAAAAAATTATGTATTTTTTGAAATGACACAGATTTCAAAAAAATAGTTAAAGGGTTAAAGAAAGATTTTTGGGAGAGCTAGGTGGTGCAGTGGATGGAGAACCTGCCCTGGAGTCAGGAGGACCTGAGTTCAAATCTGGTCTCAGACCAGACACTTGACACTTATTAGCTGAGTGACCCTGAGCAAGTCACTTAACTCCAATTGCCTCGCCAAAACAAAAAGAAAGAAAGAAAGAAAGATTTCCAGGGGACTCTGAGTAATTTTTTTTTTTTTTTTGGGAAAAGGGGGTGGTAGACCAAATGAGTTGGGGAATCTCTGCACTAGAGAGATGCCACACAAAGTACTCTGTGAAGTTCAGACCTTGGTTTCTCCCTGTGTAAAATCAAGGGGGCTGAACTGGATGGCCTGTGAGGCCCCTTCCAGCTCTAAATCTGTAATCTGAAAGTGAAAACAAAAGGTCTGTGTGTATCAGTCAGTTAATAAGCATTTATTAAGCACCTACTGTATGCCAGGCACTGTGCTAAAAGCTGGGAATACAAAAAGAAGGGGAAAGATAGGACAAAGGATGGGTGAGAATTTAACAAGTGAAAGTGGGGCCAGGAAACATTCTAAACACGTCCAACAGGATTAGCCAAGGCTGGGAGGTAGGGAGGAGACTCCCAGTGGTTTGGTTGGAACATCAAGAAAGGCAGGGACTAATTTGACAATTGGTAAAAAGGCCAGATTGTAAGACTGCCTTGTAAGGGATCTCCCTCTAGGTGCTATGGCTCAAAACAGGAAGGGATTCCCTGGGATTCTTTTTTTTTTTCTTTCTTTAATAAATTTTTATTTCCCCAGTTACATGTACAGTTTTTTAACAATTATTTTAAAAAATTTTAAGTTCCAAATTCCCTCCTTCCTTCCCCTCCTCCCTCTTTAAGAAGACAAGCAGTTTGATTTGATATCAATTATACATGTGAAGTCATGAAAAACACATTTCCATATTAGCCATATTGCCAAAGAAGCACAGACAAAAAATAAAACAAGAAAAATAAAGTTTAAAAAAAATATGCTTCAAACTGCCTTCAGAGTTTATCGGTTTTCGCTCTCTCTCTGGAGAAGGATGGCATTTTTCATCATGGTTTCTTTGGGATTGTCTTGGTGAAGTCTTGCTCAGAACAGCCAAGTCTTTCACAGTCAATCATCTTCACGATACCACTGTTACTATGTGCAACACTCCCTGATTGTGCTCACTTTGGGTGTAGTTCTAAATTGCTCTCCAAAATGGCTACGCTAGTTTATGACTTCATTAACAATGCATTAGTGACTGTTGGTGGAGTTGTGAATTGATCCAACGATTCTGCAGAGCAATTTGGAACTACATCCAAAGGGCAGTCAAACTCTGTGTACCCTCTGATCCACCAATACCACTACTAGGTCTGTATCCCAGAGAGATTAAAAAAAGGGGAGGGAAAAGAAATGCAGGAGAAGGTGGCCTAGCCATTCCAGATCTTAAATTGTATTATAAAGCAGCAGTCATCAAAACTGCTTGCTACTGGCTAAGAAATAGAGTGGTGAATCAGTGGAATAGGTTAAATATGCAAGACACAATAGTCAATGACTATAGTAATCTGTTATTTGATAAACCCAAAGACTCCAGCTTCTGGGATAAGAACCCACTCTTTGAAAAAAACTGCTGGGAAAACTGGAAAAGAGTATGGAAGAAACTAGGCATAGACCAAAATCTCACACCATATGCCAAAATAAAGTCAAAATGGGTTCATGATTTAGATATAAAGGCTGATACTATAAGCAAACTGGGAGAGCAAGGAATAGTTTACCTGTCAGATTTATGGAGAACAGAAGAATTCATGACCAAACAGGAGATAGAGAACTTTATGAAAAGCAAAATGGATAACTTTGATTGCATTAAATTGAAAAGTTTTTGCACAAACAAAGCCAATGCAACCAAGTTTAGAAGGAAAGTAGAAAATTGGGAAAGAATTTTTACAACCAATGTCTCTGTTAAGGGCCTCATTTCTAAAATATATAGAGAATTAAGTCAAATTTATAAGAATACAAGTCATTCCCAATTGATAAATGATCACAGGATATGAACAGGCAGTTCTCAGAGGAAGAAATTAAAGCCATCTATAGTCATATGAAATAATGCTCTAAATCACTATTGATTAGAGAAATGAAAATCGAAACAACTCTGAGGTACCACATCACACCTATCAGATTGGCCAACATGACAAAACAGGAAAATGATAAATGTTGGATATAAGATGTGGGAAAATTGGAACACTAATGTATTGTTGGTGGAGTTGTGAAATGATCCAACTATTTTGGAGAACAATTTGGAACTATGCCCAAAGGGCCATAAAAATGTGCATACCCTTTGACCCAGCAATAGCACTTGTAGGGCTATATCCCAGAGAGATCATACAAATGGGAAAAGGACCCACATGTACAAAAATATTTATAGCAGCTCTTTTTGTAGTGACAAAGAATTGGAAATTGAGAGGATGCCCATCAATTGGGAAATGGCTAAACAAGTTGTGGTATATAAATGTAATGGAATACTATTGTGCTATAAGAAATGATGAGCAAGCAGACTTCAGAAAAACCTGAAAACACTTGTATGGTCTGAGGCTGAGTGAAGTGAGCAGAACCAGAAGAACGTTGTACACAATAACAGCCACATTGTGCGATGACTAATAGTGATAGACTTAACCCTTCTCAGCAATATAGAAATCTAAGATATCTCCAAAGGCCTTGTGATGGAAAATGCTATCCACAAAGAAGAAAGAACTATGAAGTTTGAATGCAGATCAAAGCATACTATTTGCTATTTTTTTTTTTCTGTTGTATTTTGTTTCCTCTTTCTGGTGGTTCCTCCTATTGGTTCTAATTCTTACTTACAACATCACTAATGTGAAAGTATGTTTAATAGGAATGTATATGTATAGCCTATATCAGATTGCGCATTGTCTTGGGGAGGGAAGGGGAGAAAAATTTAAAACTCAAAAGCTTATGGAAGTGATTGTTGATAATTCAAAATAAATTAATAAAAAAAGGGGGGGAAGGGAGGAAGGACCTACTTGTACCAAAATATTTATAGCCCCTCTTTTTGTGGTGGCAAAGAATTGGAAATTGAGGGGTTGCCCATCAATTGGGGAATGGCTGAACAAATTCTGATGTATGATGATAGAATACTATTGTGCTGTAAGAAATGATGAGCAGGACAATTTCAGAAAAACCTGGAAAGACTTACATGATCTGATGCAGAGTGAAGTGAGCAGAACCAGGAGAACATTGTACACAGTAACAACAACATTGTAAGAATAATCAACTATGAATGACTTAGCTCTTCTCAGCAATACAATGATCCACAACAATTCCAAAGGACACATGAAGAAACATGCTATCCACATCCAGAGAAAGAACTGATGGAGTCTGAATGCAGAGCAAAGCATACTATTTTTACTTTTATTTTTTACGTGTTTTTTATTCTTTTGGTGTGTTTCTTCTTTCACAGCATGACTAATATGGAAACGTTATATGTGATTACACATAGATAACCTATATGAAATTGCTTACCATCTTGGAGAGGGAGGGAGGGACAAAAGTGGAACTCAAAATTAAAAAAATAATAATGTTAAAATTTGACTTTACATGTAATTGGAAAAAAAAAGATGAGAGATTAAATGCCCCCAAAAAACCCCAGTACATTAATGTCCCAATTTTTCCATATTCCCTCTAGCATTTGTCATTTTCCTTTCCTGTCATGTTAACCAATTTGAAAGGTGTGGGGTGGTATCTCAGAGTTGTTTTAATTTGCATTTCTCTAATCAGCAGTGATTAGAGCATTTTTTCATGTGACAATTGTTAGCACCCATCTGTTCTTTTGCTTCACTTGGAGGATTTTTTTTGGGGGGGGGGTGGGGGGGGTGTGGGGTGGGAAACCAGAAGGAGGAGGAGAAGAAGGGGAGAGAGAGAGAGAATAGTCATGTAAACAGTAAAATTAAACATAAAATCAACATTAAACATAGAATTAAAATTAACATAGATGTTTTTCTGGAATATGGATTTCTTTCAGAATTCTTTACATAAGGTCAGATTTTTGTAATGTGAGTTTACATAAAGTGAGAACTGTCTGTATAGTGTCTTGGCCTACCCATAAGCAATTAATATTTCTCCAGTTGTTTAGATGTATGAAAAGTGTTTTGTAATTGTGTTCAAATAATCCCTGGGTTTGTCTTGGCAGGTAGACTACCAAGTATTTTATATTATCTGCAGTTATTTTAAATGGAATTTCTTTTTCTATCTCTTGCTGCTGGGTTTTGTTGGTAGTATATAGAAATGCTATTGATTTATGTGGGTTTATTTTATATCCTGTAACTTTACTGAAGTTATTAATTGTTTCAACTAGCTTTTTTAGTTGATTCCCTAGGGTTCTCTATACCATCATCTGCATAGACTGATAGTTTTGTTTTTTCATTGTCTATTCTAATTCCTTCCATTTCTTTTTCTTGTTTTATTGCCATAGCTAGCATTTCTAGTACCATAGTGAATAATAGTGGTGATAATGAACATCCTTGCTTCACCCCTGATCTTACTGGGAAGGTTTCAAGTTTATCCCCTTTATAGATAATGCTTTGTTATTGGTTTTAGATAGATACTGTTTATTATTTTAAGAATGTCATCCAGGGATTCTTAACTAGGGGTTTTCCCTCTTCAACTTGTGGAATTCTGCCCTCTTTGCTCTTAGGACTTCCCCTGGATCTTGGCAGACGAGCAAGATGTGCACATGCATGACCCCCGGCTAATCCCACTGAAGACCATGACCTCAGACATTTTAAAGGTGAAGCTGGGTGGGAAGGACTTAATGGGACCTAGGCATCCCAGTGACTGCTAGGAGACAGATTTCACAATGCTTAGAGAATGCTTATGAGGGGCTTAGTGGCTGTGACCAGCGTAGCCCCAGGAGACCTCCTAAGCTGCCTTTGGTTGAAGGCTTAGGAAGAACCAATCTATTATTTTAAACTCTCCAGGAAGGAATTGGTCTCTCCCGTGCCTTACAGCTATAACCCTGCTAGCCATACCCAGGGCAGAGCCCTGACTCCTAGCAGGGAATCCTGACCCGTCTGATCTTGATTGGCCAAGGGCACTGTGGACAAGCTTCCTCTCACCTAGAGGGTGGGGCAGAGGGCAGAGAGTGGGCAGCCCTTGGCTATTTCCCCATGTCCCCTGATCAGTCACCCACCCCTTGAGTGAGAGCATTTGTCTCAGGTCAGAAAAAGTCCCCACTTGGATCTTTTTGCAGGTTCCTAGAGGCCAACTGTCTAATCCCTACCCCCCAGAAGCATCCCTTCTGTGACATCTTGGGCAAGTGGACTTGTTTGAAGAGTGCCAAGAGAAGCTCATGACTTCCTAAGGCAGCCTGTGCCACTTTTGGATGGCCCCCATTAGGGAATAGGGGTTAGGATGTTTTTCCTGCCACCAAGTCCAAATGTGCTTCTCTGTTACTTCTAACCACTGCTCTCTGGCACCAGATAGAACAATTCTGATCCCTCCTTTGAGCCTCAGTGTTCCCATCTGTGAAATGGGGGTGGTGGTGGTAATAATAATTCTCTGTAAGCTTTAGAGTGCCACAGAAACATGACCTTTAACCATCATCACCACCGGCATGGTTTCCTTCTAACAGATGCAGTTGTACGTGGAGGAGAGGGCTCACAAGAGCAGCTGAAGCAGGACTGGACTTTGGCAGCCACCATGGGCCCCTCTTGGCCTGAAACTGCCTCGCTGGCTCCAAGTGCTCTTACCCCGTCGTCTGACAGACCAGGCAAGTCCAGCATCACCCTTGAGACTGGCTCCCTCGGCCAGCTCTGGTCACAGACCGACCAGCCTTGGATCACTAGGAAGGAATCCCAGGGAGAGGGTGGAGAGAACCTACGACCCTGTTCTCTGCTGTCCTTGGGTCCTTTTGAACACAAGTGGCCATTGTAAATCGGACTGTGGTTTTTGTTTCAATAAAAGACCTGAGGGCAGCGTCCTGTGGATTGTTGCTCAAAGATAGGGAAGCCTCGATTGACCTGGGATTGAGGATGCTTCTGGAAGAGCCTGGACCATTCACCCCTTGACCTCATGCTGTCCTCCTTCCTCAAACCAACTCCAGGCTGTCTGTATGGAAAGTGTTTATTGAAACTCAAAGCTGTGAAAAGTAGGAAGACTCTGTCGCCATTGGTGACATCTGGGTCTGGATCTAGTTGCTACATCTGACTGCGTCGTCTGTAGGACTGGGTTTCTTGGTGACCTCAGGGCCAATGGTGATGCTGCTGTTGGTGACTCGGGAGCCGTACCACCCAGCCCAGAACTGAGTGTCCTTGCCACCATGCTGGAAGCGAATGTGACGAACTCCTGGGGGATAGTTGGAGAATGTGTGGGAGACCTGGGGGAGGACAGAGTTAGTCACTTGGTGAGGGTGGTCCTATGGTTCTTAACCTTGGGTTGACAGGATTGGAGGGAGAGGGGAAGTAGGGGGTGGAGATAGTGTGGGGTAGAAAGGTCTGGGTTATAAGGAGGGATTCTTAACCTTTTTTGGGCCCTAGACCCCTCTTGTGAAGCCTGTGGACCCCTTTCTCAGTCATGTTTTTAAATGCATAAAATAAAACACAGAATTACAAAATAAATCAATTACTTTGAAATATAGTTATTGAAACATACATATAATTTATAAAATGTGTATATTATATTTATAAAATATAGAAATATTTGTTTTAGAAACATAAATAGGTATTTCTATTTATAAATATATATATTCAAAGTTTGTGTGCCCCAGATTAAGAACCCCATCTGTGAAGTATTCTCTGACCAAGCTCCCTCACAGAAGAGGCGAAGTGGGGACAGAGAATTGACAGGGGAAGCTGCCTAGGGCTCCCCTGTAGTCCTGTCCCGTAGTACCGCACTGACCTCTCTCCACTCGCAATCACTCCATTGTTGGATCTCCACCGGTGGGGGCTCAAATGAATCCAGGACGAGGTAGTCCGCTGAGAGTAACTGCACACAGATCTGGTAGCGGCAGCCACAGTCGTATCTGGCAGCAAACCTGAGGGGAGGCAGAAGGGTCAGTCAAGTGTGGGCAGAGAATCCAAGTGTCAGAGTCGGAAGGGACGTCAGAAGTCTGTTGAGTCCATTCCGCACCTGGACTGAAAGGCCTCTTTATAATATCCCTAACAACTGGTCATATGGCTTTCATCTAGGACATTTAATGAGATGACAGTGATTAAAGAGATACAGAGGAAAGTGCACTGGCCTTGGACTAGTGGATCTGGGTTCCAGTTCTGGCTCCAATATTTACAACCTGTGTGACTCTGAGGATCAGTTATTTCACTTCCCTACAGGCCTCAGTTTCCTCATCTGTAAGATGAGGGTTGGACGAGAATCTAGACCCCATGTGGGGTCGAGACCCACAGTTTAAAAAGTGCTAAAGGTGGGGAGGCAGCTAGGTGGCACAGTGGATAGAGCACTGGCCCTGGATTCAGGAGGACCCGAGTTCAAATCTGGCCTCAGACAAGACACTTGACACTTACTAGCTGTGTGACCTTGGACAAGTTACTTAACCCCAATTGCCTAAAAAAAAAAAGTGCTAAAGGGGTCATGAGTGGAAAAAGTTTTAAGAGGCCCTAGATTAGATGACCTTGGAGGTTCTTTCCAGCTCTAAATCTATGCTTCTATGACCTGATGCACCCCCCGTGTTACTTATGGATAGCTCTAGCTATCTTTCTGTTAAACCTTGCTAGCATGGCCTAGAGAGAAGCCCTGCTTGGTTTTCCACTCAAGTGCTTTTTTGGACCATTGATTTAGAGGGGGAAGGGACCATGTAGCTCAGATAGTCTAACATCCTCATTTAGTAAATGTGGAAACTGAGGCTCTTAGAGAGTGACTTGTCCAAGGTCACACAGCTAGTGTCTGAGGTGGATTTGCACATAGGTCTTCCTGAATCTAAGTAAAATTGGATTGGATTGAGTGTGTGTAATCCCGGGCTTTCCCCTGGGATTACAAATTGATCAGCAAGCATTATTAAGCATCTGTTATGTGCCAGGTATGTATTAGGTGATAAAGGTACAAAGACAATCCCCATCCTCGGACAATTTAACAAAGGAAATGATGTATTTGCATATGTATATACAAATACATATAAGATAATTTCATCAGGGAGGCAATGGCAGCTGGGAGGGTCAAGAATGGCCTCATGGAGAAGGTGGTGCTTGAGTTAAGCTTTGAAGGAAGAAACTAAGTGTTTCCAGAGGCAAAAAGTGAGGGAAAGGAAGGTCCCACATGTGCAGGGTCCTATCCACTACCAAGGGTGGGGAACCTGCGGCCTCGAGGCCACGTGTGACCCTCTAGGTACTCAAGTGCGGCTCTTTGACTGAATCCAGACTTCACAGAACAAATCCCCTTCATAAAAGGATTTGTTCTGTAAAACTTGGACTCAGTCAGAAGGCTGCACCCAAGGACCTAGAAGGCCACAGGTGGTCTTGAGGCTGCAGGTTCCCCACCCCTTCGTCTAAGGACAGAGGGTGGGAGAGGGTGTGTCGTGTGGAGAGCAGCAAGATGGCCCAGTTTGGACCATAGAGCTCGTGGATGGGGAGTAATGTGTGATAAATCTAGAAAGGTGGTTTGGAGCCAGTTGTAAAAGGCTTCACCAACAGAGGGGTTTGTATCTGATCCTAGAGGTAATAGAAGTACCTGGTACCACCCTGTGCTTTACCAAGATCAATTTGGCAGCTACTGGGAGGGCACATTGGAGAGAAAGAAGAGAATGGTGGCAAGACTGAGTAGGAGGCTATGGCCAACCTTGGGGGGCCGTGGCCGGTTGTGACGTGAGTGGAAGGCAGGACGGGTTCAAAAGACGTTGGGGAGACAGAGTCTACCGGACTCAGCAACCATTTGGATACGTGGGGGCGGGGAGGCGAGTGAGGCCGCGAACATGGGTGACCACGAGGATGAGGACGGTGCCCTCCATAGGAAGACAGGGAGAAATGAGGACGAAGATGAGTAATGCGTGGTGCGGCTAAGTTGCCGGCCTGGGCCTGGGTCACACTGCCCTCCCTTGCCTTGGTCATAAGGTCATGGTGCAGATGAAGTAGCACCTGGATGGGAGAACGTCCCACCCCATCCTGCTGGCCCCCAGCCCCACTCACCAGTCCTTGATCACAATGTCCGGCCTCACGGTGTCCATCAGCTCTTTCCAATACCCCGCGGCTTTCAGGTCCACCATCTGAGACTTGAGGCAGGTGCTGGGGAGGCGTGAGAAGAAGACACGGTTAGAGCCGGTCAGCTCAGTAGAGAGCTGGACTTCGACCTCATCACCCCAGCGTGCTCAGATACGAGATGTAGAGATGGGAGCTCCTCCTACACCCTCCCAGCATGCCGGCCAGGGGCACCAGGCTCAGAGCAGCCATCACATGTGACGTCCCAGGGCCACCTTGTGACCCCTCCCGCAGCCCCTGGGGCTCTGTCTCTAACAGGAGGATGCATGAGTGATGTAGGGGACTTAAAGTTCACTTCCAGCAAGTCTGGAAAGTAAGGACTTCCCTTGAACATCAATAACTTAGGGATGCTAGGGGGCGCCATAGTGTGCAGAGTGCCAGACCTGGAGTCAGAAGGAAGACTCGTCTTCCTGAGCTCAAATCCAGCCCCAGACACTGACTAGCTGTGTGACCCTGGACAAGTCACTTCACCCTGTTTGCCTCAGTTTTCTCATCTATAAAATGAGCTGGAGAAGGAAATGGCAAACCACTCCAGTATCTTTGCCAAAAAACCCCCAAACAAATCAAAATGGGGTCATGAAGGGTCAGACATGACTGAAAAGGACTGAACAAACAATCAGCAATTTGGCATTCGGTCACTCATTTTTGACCCCTCAACAATCACCTTTCTTCAGAAGGAGGAAATGTGAAAGACAAGCAGAGGACTTGGGTTTGAATCCCTGCCCCCCTGCTTATGACCCAGTGACCTTGGACAAGTCACTGCCTCTCAGTCTGTTCATCTGCAAAATGAGGACATGGGACTGGATGGTCTCACTAGTTCCCTCTGGGATCCTGGGTCCCATGAGTTCTTTGAGGGCAGGGATTGGCTTTTTACCTTTCTTTGCATTCCCGTTAGCACAGAGCCCGGCACATTTGTGGTTCAGTGGTTTCAGTCATGTCTGACTCTTCGTGATCCCATGCAAAGATCCTGGAGTGGTTTACCATTTCTTTCTCCAGCCCATTTTACAGATGAAGAAACTGAGGCAAATAGGGTGAAGTGACTTGTCCAGAGTCACACAGCTCAGAAGTGTCTGAGGCCAGATTTGAACTCAGGTCTTCCTGACTCTAGGCCTGGAGTACTATCCCCTGTGCCACCTAGCTGCCTACCTGGCACATAGTAGGTACTTAATAAATGCTTGTAGATTGACTTTAATCTCTAATCAGTTACTTTATTAGGCATTTATTTGGTGCTAGGCACAGTGCTAAGACCTGGGGGTGCCCTCACATTCTTATGGGAGAATAACCAGGTACGGCCAAGACACAGACACAGACTAGATGGAGGGCAATTTCAGAAGGGAAGCCCTAGCAGCTGAAGGGACTGGGAAAGGCCTTCTACAGAAGGTGGGGGCTTAAGTTGAGTGTGAAGGAAACTAGAAACGTTAATAGGTTGAAGTGAAGATGGAGAGCGTTTCAGGGACAGCCAATGAGTTGGGAGATAAAAGCTAGCTGGCTCAGTGGATAAAGTGCTGGGCCTGGAGTGAGGAAAACCTGTGTTCAAATCCAGCCTCAGATATTTCCTAGGAAGTTACTTAACTACTGTCTGCCTCAGTTTTCTCAACTGTAAAATGGGGATAATAGATCTAATACTTGTAAAGTACTTAGCTCAATGCCTAGCACATAGTAGGTGCTCTACAAATGTTAGCTATAATTATTATTTCTCAGCTGCCCAGGGACCTCCTGGCCCTACTCTCCCTGATCCCTCCCCCTCCACCCAGAGTCCACTCAAGTCAGAATTCCTCTTACTAATAGGAGGTGACAAAGTATTTCTTGACTTTGGGGTCTGGAAACTCTTTCCCATGGGCTCCAGGTGTGTCTTCCACTTTCCAGTTATCTCCTCCATTCTGGTCAATTATCCAAAATTTCAAGCCCTCTAGAAAAAGAATAAGCATAGTCTTGAGTTCCACTGGGGAGGTGGGTGGGTTCGGGGCAGGATGCGGGGCAGGATGTGAGGCGGTTGGAGGAAGTGGGGTGTTTAGAGAAGAGAACGCTTAGGTGGGGTTATGATAGTTGTCTTCAAGATGGTATAGCACTCAAGACACTTACTAGCCATGTGACCTTGGGCAAGTCACTTAACCTCTGTCTAGGAGGCAGCTAGGTGGCTCAGTAGATAGAGGGCTGGGCCTGGGGTCAGGAAGACCTGAGGTCAAATCTGGTCTCAGATACTCACTAGCTGTGTGACGTTGGGCAAGTCACTTAGCCTCTGTTTTCCTTAATCCACTGGAGAAGGAAATGGTAAACCACTCCAGAACCGTTGCCAAGAAAACCCCACAGACAGTATAGTCCACAAGGTCACAAAGAGCTGGACAGAGCTGAACAACATAGCACTCTGCCAGAGGTATAGCAATTAACTGAATGTCCTTAAGAGCGACTGTTTTTGTTGAGGTCAAGATCTGACACGCTTTGGGGTTCCTGTGTTTGTGTAAGAGGCAAGTTTATTTCCCAAACTTTATACTTGTCATCCCATGCATGCCGAGTGCATGATTTCTGTGATTTCTTTGGTATAGGTAACTCTCAAATGAGTAACTTCCTCTCCTTAGGAAAGCGGGCACTTTCTCTGCAATTTGTGGCTTTCATGGCCAGGAGCACCGAGAGGTTGTGATTTGTCCAGGGCCACACAGCCAGTATGCATCAGAGATGAGACCTGAACCCAATTCTGGCCCATTCCCCTTGTTATACCGTGCTGCCTCCACAGGAATGTGGGTCAGGAGAGAAGACTGAATATCTGGGTCTTTAGTAGAAAGGAGTCACTCGGGATTAAAAGGTGAGCAAGGACATTTTCTCACTGAGTTGGGGTAGGACAGCACTCAGCACAGGGCCCTGTTGTACACCCCCCTGATGGAATCCTAATAAAGCTGCCCCCAGCCCCAACATTCTAACTTCCTTATGGGCCCCACTGAAGAGCAGGCGTGTCCTCATTTAACCACCCAATCTGGCTTTGACCACAGTACAGGCCCCCAGACTCAATACAGCCACTGCCCCCAGATCCAATTCACATATTGGAACAGGTGTGTTCTCGTACTCAACCACAATCACATCATCCGTTTAGCCCGAGACAGGACCACAATATCCAACTATCCATCTTGACCAGACAGGACCACAATAGCTAGTCGATCAAAAAGCAGCACAACCAGGATGTTTGACCACCGAACCATAGAAGGGACCCCTCCTCTATTACCTAATCCCTTGACAAATCCCTCCTGCCTTTTTAATATTCATAATTTCGGTTATGTAATTGTGTCCTTACCCTACAGAAATCCATCTTGCTTCCTCTGAAGTCGCTGGTTCCTCTTGGAACCTAGCCCACTTCTGGGGGGCATCAATCCTCAACAAATGCCTGTACTTGGATTCGAGGTGTTCTGACTCTGATTTCTTTGAGATGATGCTGCCACAACACATCATGAAACCTCAACACCACCACCCCGCCCCAACTACCCTCCACCCCCAGGATGAGAGCAGGGAAGGTTACACTTTTGTTTTTGTATTCTCACTGCCTGGCACACTGTAGGTGCTTAATAAATCCTTGGTGATCGATAGGTGCTTAATAAATGTTTTTTTAATTGAATTGGGACTTGGTACATGAGGGCTTTGGTCCTTGCTCTACCATTAATCACTTAGTCTGACCCCTTCATTTTACAGATGAGGAAATTGAGAGATGAGGAAATGGAGGCCCAGAACACTCAGGTGACTTAAGATCATAGGATCCTGGATTTAAGGTTATAAGGGAAATGTGAGGTCGTCTGATCCAACCCCCTTCATGCTACAGATGAGGAAACTGAAGTCCAGAGAGGACCTCAAATGGCAACTGAAGTGCTCTTTACTATTACCTGTATGACCTGCCCCAGGTCCCTCAATGTGGTAAAAGAAAGAACAGAAATTCAAACTCAGGCGCTCTGATTCCAAACGCAGTGTTATTACCACCGTGCCACCCTAGCTCCAAGGGAAGTGACTTGCTCAAGATGACATGGGTGGAAACTGTCAGAGCTGGGATTTCAAGTGGGACTTCTGAGTCTAGAAGCACGGGGCTACCCAGCCCATGTATAGTCTACATGCCTCTGGTATGAGACAGCTTTGATGAGGTGAAGGTGGGGACCCACCTCGGGCACAGGGGACCCACCCTGGGCGCAGGGGACCCACCTCGGGTGCAGGGGACCCACCCTGGGTGCAGGGGACCCACCTCGGGCACAGGGGACCCACCCTGGGCACAGGGGACCCACCTTGGGCACAGGGGACCCACCCTGGGCGCAGGGGACCCACCTCGAGCACAGGGGACCCACCTCGGGCACAGGGGTTTCGGATCAGGTTCCTCCGGAGGCTGCAGAGGAAGTAGAAAACCTTCCAGTCAGCTACTGGTTGGTCCCAGTCCTGGGAGATGAAGCCCTCTCTCTGGCACTTGCGTTTCCACAGGGACACCAGGTCGATGAGGTCCCTCCACAGGCTGCAGACTGGCCGGCAGTGCCTCAGCAGCTCCTGGGCTGGCACCAGGGAGAATAGCTCCAGGAGGACGTTCTCGGGCAGCTCATTGATGGAGGCCATGGCCCTGGCACCAGGGGTGGGGATAGGCAATCATCCACAGCCGGCACAAGCCTAGGAGGAGGCAGGGTCTAAAACAGGGCAGGGAAGAGGGCAGTTAGGAGGATGTCTGACAACGTGGTGAGGGACAAGGAGAGTTTGGGGCTTAAAAGCTGGACTCTATGAAGAACTTTAAAAGCACTTTACACATGCTACATCATTTGATTTTTTCTAAACAGCTACTCAACTCAACTAAGCTATGAGAAGCAACTGGTGAAACAGGAAGATCTCTGGACTGGGACAGTCTTACAGAACAGGTCACCTATTTCGGCAAGGTCTGAGTTCATCACTTCCCCTACTTGATGCATTCCAATGGCTCTCTATTGCTTCCAGGAAATAGAAAGTCCTCTGTTTGGCATTCAAGGCCTTTCATATGTCCTTATATGTAACTGGAAGAAATAAAATACTATTTAAAAGGAAAAACCCCAACAAAGAGCTCCTTCTGATCTTTCCAGTCTTCTCACACTTCACTCCCCTCCAGGATCTCTTACTTGTTGATCCTCAAAAACAATGCTCCATTTACAGACTTTTGCCCTGGCTGTCTGGAAGGCCCTTCCTCCTGGTCTCCATTTATGACTTCTCAGGCCTCTTTTAAGGTTAAGTTTGAATTCTACCTTCTAGAAGAAGTTTCTTGTAGAAGTTCTGAAAAAAATGTCCTAATACCACTTCCCCCCCCCCCCATGCCTTCCTTACTGATTTTACTTTCAATTTACAATGGATATCTCTGTTGTCTCCACCATTAGCAGGGCATCTCCTGAGAGTAGGAACTATATCTGCCTTAGTGCTTAGCACAGTGCCTAGCACATAGTAAGCACTTAGTGATAGGAAGCCAGTCAGCACAGGGTGGGGATAGGGGTGGGGGAAATAAAAGAGCACTGGACTTGGAGTCAGGATGATCTGAGTTCAAATCCAGCCTCAGATATGTGCTAGCTGTGTAACCCCAAGCAAGTCACTTAATCTCTTTCTGCCTCAGTTTGCTCAACTGAAAAATGGAAGGGAATAAGCATATATTGTGTGCCACACACTGTGCTGAGTACTTTTTACAAATATTATCTTGAGTTTGATCCTCATAAGTCTGGGAGATAGATGCTATGCTATTATAGGGTTGTTGTGAGGATCAAATGAGATAATATTTGTAAAAAGTGCTTAGCACAGTGGCTGACATACAGTAGACACTCAATAAATGCCTTTATTAAGTAAATAATGTTAAGTAAATAATATTAACTAAATAAATGTTCATTTCCATTTTATAGTTGAGGACACTGAGGTTAAGTGACTTGCTCAGGACCACCCAGCTGGTAAATATCTGAGGCTGAATTTGAACTCACCCCTTCCTGACTCCAAGGGCAGCTAGGTGATTGCTGGACCTGGAGTCAGGAAGACTCCTCTTCTAAGTTCAAATCTGGCTTCAGACACTAGCAGGGTGACCCTGGGCAAGTCACTTAACCCTGTTTGCCTCAGTTTCCTCATCTGTAAAATAAGTTGGAGAAGGAAATGGTAACCCATTCTAGGATCTTTGCCAAGAAAACCCCACAAAGTCACAAAGAATCTGAATCTGGACATGACTGAATGACAGCTTCCTGATTCCAGGCACAATGCTCTAACCACTTCACCATCAAGTACTTCTGAGAGTGGGGATATTAATAGTACTAGCTTCACAACAGGGTTGTTGCTGAGATTAAATGAGATTGATTACAAAGTGCTTTGCAAACCTTTAAGTGCTATAGAAGATGTCATCACCATCACCATCACCATCACCATCACCATCACCATCACCATCACCACTGGCTGAATCAATGGCTAAGTCATTAACTGACAAGTGAGGCCCTTCCCCGGTCTGGTCCTCACTTTCCTCATCTGTTAAATGAGGACAGATAGATGTTCTCTAAGGCTCCTCCTGACTCCCAGCATCGCTCTTCTAAGCTACCTCCCAGCTCTGACATTCTGTGTTCTGTTCTAAAGACTGTTCCTGTTCTAACGTGTTATTCGGCACTTCTAACAATTAAAAGTAATGCAAGTCAGTTGTCACTTGCTGGGTGATGGAGGGCAGGATGCTTTTCAAAAGGGTTCCCCCTCTCCCTCTCTTCTTGAGTTCTGGCTCGTACTAAAATCGGTCTCCTTTTCCAGTGCCCACGAATAAATCGGAGGGCTGTCGTCACACGCCGCACACGAGCTAGGGCAAAGAGAGGTCCATGAGAGCCAGCCCGGTCACTGTTCCACTGGGCCGCGGTCACTAAGGGGAGGCAATTTCCGTTTCCCTTTCCCTTTCTAGCTGGTCAGTTCCGGCTCTCTGACCACTCCCTATGGACACAGGCTGTGTAGAGGCTGACAGAGCCAGAGGCAAAGAGCTGAGGAACGCAGCGGCCGGGGTGGGGGAGGGGAAATACTAAGTCTTCTCCTCCCCCGCCTCCCTCCCAGCCCCCCTTAGACTCCCCCTGGGCCGGATGCTGGGGATCCCTGGGTTCGGCCCCCTCTGGTTGAGGGGTGGCGCCCGAGCTACAATGCCCCTCACCCCTGCCTCCAGCAGCTATGGTGCGCAGAGACTAGGTCTGGCCAGGACTGGCAAAGCCAAATTCGGCCAGGCTGATAGACTGGCGGTTGCCGCTTGGGTCCTGGCTCCTTGCTACATTTCCCCTTCCCTCGGGAATGGCTGCAAAGCAGCTGACTAGAGGCGTGCCAAGGAGACCGCAAGCTGCTCCCAGACGCTGCGCATCCGTTCCAGAGGGGCCCCCTCGACTCCCTGCTTACGGCTGGAGAGGGGACCCAGGTGTCCCGGCCCCCCTCCCGACTCCTCCTCCGCCTCGTCTTCCCCGGCAGACCTGATCCCAGCCTCTTCCCCTGCCATGCTACGACTAGGCAGAAACCTGGGCGCTCGGGGCCGGGCTGGGCTGGACAGGGCTGGCAGACAGCTCTCCTGGATCCGTCAGCGACTCCGGCTTCGGCAGCTTCCGTAAACACTCAGCCCCGAGCTCCCTGGCCCTCCCCGCAGCAACTGTGCGTTACTGGGCCTTCGCTAGGGATCTGGGAAATGAAGTTTTCAAACCTCTCTCGGCTAAAAGATCTGGGTTGGAATCCTGCCTCTAATCCTGGCTTGGGTGGTTATGAAGAAGTTGCTTCCTTTCTGATGGTAATGATCATAGGATCATAGAAATATGGGTGGATGGGACCTCAGAGGTCTGGTTTTTTTAGTCCGGTCTCCTGTATTTTACACATAACACTCTGTTACAATAATAATCTGTTTTTAAGCCTGGGGGAAATATAATGGTCCCTGTGACTGAAGTAAAATTCAATTAACAAAAAAAGTTTGAGTAATAAAAAAGCAAGTTAGGTTATGTCTTCGGATAGGCCGCCACTGGGAGGGGAAATTGGGGAAAGAGCTCACTGATCTTTTCTTGGGACTTCCCTCAAACTCATTCTTCTGCTCCAGAGATGTCGGAAGAGGCAGATGACTGTCCTTAATATGTCCCTCCTTTGCTATGGGCAGTCCTTCCTTTGCTCCTCAGATGTTTGCTGGAATTTCAGGCTTGCTCCAACCTCTTTTCCAGACCCTCAGAATCTCTCTCTAGTTCTGAGATAATTCCGTTCTTTTATGTGTATTCTTTTTTTTTTTTTTTTTACTAATGCCTTCCTTTTATACTAATTCCAAGTGTTTCACAAAATAGCTTTAACTCGTTTAAGTAAGGAGGTGTTAAAATTCTGTACTGATTGATTAGATTCAATTACCTAACAAAGGTAATTACATTTAAGTGGGTGGGATAATTGTGCAAAGCAGATAAAGAGCTAGTTTCTGCCATACTCTTTTCAGTTTTCCCTGCAGTTTTTGTCAAAGAGTGAGTTCTTATCCCAGAAGCTAGAGTCTTTGGGTTTATCAAATAATAGATTACTATGGTCATTGACTACTGTGTCTTGCATATTTAACCTATTCCACTGATCCACCACTCTATTTCTTAGCCAGTACCAAGCAGTTTTGATGATTGCTGCTTTATAATACAATTTAAGATCTGGAATGGCTAGGCCACCTTCCCCTGCATTTCTTTTCATTAGTTCTCTTGATATTCTGGACCTTTTGTTCTTCCAAATGAATCTTGTTATTATTTTTTCTAACTCTATAAAATAATTTTTTGGTAGTTTGATTGGTACACCACTGAATAAGTAAATTAGCATAGGCAGAATTGTCATTTTTATTATATTAGCTCGGTCTACCCATGAGCAACTGATGTTTTTTCCAATTATTTAGATCTGACTTTATTTGCGTGAAAAGTGTTTTGTAATTGTATTCATAAAGTTCCTGGGTTTGTTTTGGGAGGTAGACTCCTAAGTATTTTATAATGTCTACAGTAAGTTTAAATGGAATTTTTCTTTCTATCTCTTGCTGTTGGACTTTGTTGGTAATATATAGAAATGCCGGTGATTTATGTGGGTTTATTTTATAGCCTGCAACTTTGCTAAAGTTGTTTATTATTTCAAGTAGTTTTTTACTTGATTCTCTGGGATTCTCTAAGTACAACATCATGTTATCTGCAAAGAGTGATAGCTTTGTTTCTTCTTTGCCTATTCTAATACCTTCAATGTCTTTTTCTTCTCTTATTGCTAAAGCTAACATTTCCGGTACGATGTTGAATAACAGTGGTGATAATGGACATCCTGGTTTCACCCCCGGTCTTATTGGAAATGCTTCTAGCTTGTCCCCATTCCATATTATGCTTGCTGAAGGTTTTAGATAGATCCTATTTATTGTTTTAAGGAAGACTCCATTTATACCCATGCTCTCTAGTGTTTTTAATAGGAATGGGTGTTGTATTTTGTCAAAAGCTTTTTCTGAGTCTATTGAGATGATCATGTGGTTTCTGTTAGTTTTGGTGTTGATATGATGAATTATGCTGATAGTTTTCCTTATATTGAACCAGCCCTGCATTCCTGGTATAAATCCTACCTGGTCATAATATATTATTCTTGTGATAAGTTGCTGTAATCTATTTGCTAATATTTTGTTTAAAATTTTTGCATCTATATTCATTAGAGAAATTGGTCTATAATTTTCTTTCTCTGTTTTGACTCTTCCTGGTTTAGGTATCAGCACCATATTTGTATCATAAAAAGAATTTGGTAAGACTCCTTCTTCACCTATTTTACCAAATAGTCTATATAGTATTGGAATTAATTGTTCTTTAAATGTTTGATAGAATTCAAATGTAAATCCATCTGGCCCTGGAGATTTTTTCCTAGGGAGTTCATCAATGACTTGTTCAATTTCTTTTTCTGAGATGGAGTTATTTAAGTATTTTACTTCCTCTTCTGTTAATCTGGGCAATTTATATTTTTGTAAATATGTATCCATTTCACTAAGATTGTTAAATTTGTTGGCATATAGTTGGGCAAAATAATTCCTAATTGTTGTTTTAATTTCCTCTTCCTTGGTGGTAACTTCACCCTTTTCATTCTTGATACTAGCAATTTGGTTTACTTTTTTTTTTTTAAATTAGATTAACCAAAGTTTTATGTATTTTATTGTTTTTTTCATAAAACTCATAAAAATAGCTTAACCCAAATGGCAAAAGAGGTCCAAAAAGCCAATGAGGAGAAGAATGATAGAAAAGGTAAAATTGGCCAAATGGAAAAGGAAGTCCAAAAGATTATTGAAGAAAATACTTCCTTAAAAATCAGAATACAGCAATTGGAAGCCAGTGACTTTATGAGAAATCAAGACACTGTAAAACAAATCCAAAAGAATGAAAAATTAGAAAACAATGTGAAATATCTCACTGGAAAAAAACTGACCTGGAAAATAGATTCAGGAGAGAGAATTTAAAAATTATTGGACTAGCTGAAAGCCATGATCAAAAAAAGAGCCTAGATATCATCTTTCATGAAATTATCAAGGAAAACTGTCCTGATATTTTAGAACCAGAGGGCAAAATAGAAATTGAAAGAATCCACTGATCTCCTCCTGAAAGAGATCCCCAAAGGAAAACTCCTAGGAATATTGTAGCCAAATTCCAGAGTTCCCAGGTCAAGGAGAAAATATTACAAGCATCCAGAAAGAAACAATTCAAGTATTGTGGAAACACAATCAGGATAACACAAGATTTAGCTGCTTCTACATTAAGGGACCCCAGGGCATGGAATATAATATTCTGGAGGGCAAAGGAGATAGGATTACAACCAAGAATCACCTACCCAGCAAAATTGAATATAATCCTGTAGGGGAAAAAATGGTCATTCAGTGAAATAGAGGACTTTCCAGCATTCTTGATGAAAAGACCAGAGCTGAATAGAAAATTTGATTTTCAAATACAAGACTTGATTGGAACATGAAGAGGTAAACAGGAAAGAGAAAATCATAAGAGACTTATTAAGGTGGAACTGTTTACATTCCTGCATGGAAAGATGATATTTGTAACTCATGAGACCTTTGTCAGTATTAGGGTAGTTGGAGGGGAAAAAATTATATGTATGTATATATAGATACAGATAGATAGATAGATAGAGGGCACAGGGTGAGTTGAAGATGAAGGGGTCATATCTGGAGAATAAAATTAAGGAGCGAGAGAGGAATATACAATAAGAAGAAGAAAGGGAGAGGTAGAACAGGGTAAATTATCCCACAAAAAAAAAAAACAGAAAAGAAAAGGCTCTTACAGGGGATGGGAAACAGGGGAAGGTGAGAGGGAATGAGTGAATCTTATTCTCATAGGATTTGACTTAAGGAGGGAATAACATACACACTCAATTGGGTGTGGAAATCTGTCTTACCCTACAGGAAAATAGGGGGGGAAGGGGACAAGAGAGTAGGGGAATGACAGAGAGGAGGGCAGATTTTGAAAGAGAGTAATCAGAAGCAAATACTTCTGAGGAGAGACAGGGTCAAAAGAAAGAATAGAATAAAGGGATGGGTGGGATAGGATTAAGGGAAATAGAGTTAGCTTTTCACAGCATGTCTACTATGGAAGTGTTTTGCATAACTGCAAATATATAACCTATATTTAGTTGCTTGCCTTATCAATGAAGCTGGGTGGGGAGGGAGGGAGAAAATTTGGAACCCAAAGTTTTAAAAACACATGTTGAAAAAAAATGTTTTCACATGCAACTGGGAAATAAGAAATACAGGAAATGGTGTACAGAAATCCATCCTGCCCTACAGGAAAATTGAAGGGGAAGGGGATAAGAGAAGGGGGGGAGAGATAGAAGGGAAGGCAGACTAGCGGAAGGGGTATTCAGAATGCATACCATCTTGGGGTGGGGGGAAGGGCAAGATGGGGTGAAAATTTGGAACTCAAAATCTTATGGAAATAAATGTTGAAAAAAAAATCCTTCTTGAGTTCTTCTAAGAAGGCTTTTTGGGCTTCAGACCAGTTCGTATTCCCTTTTGATGTTGCAGATGTGGGTTTGATGACAATGTTGTCCTCTTTAGAATTTCTGTCTTGATCTTCACTCTTCTCATAATATGAATCTATCAGTATGTTTCTTTTTACTCATGGTGTTTCTTTATTCCCTGGCCTTTAAAGAGATTATGCTCTCCTGCTGAGGAGCAGAGGGCACTGATCCAAGCTTCTTGTGTTGGGAGCCTAGGTCTTGGTCACTGGCTTTGTGTGCTGGGGTCTCTTATGTTGGCAATTGGAGGCTGTAGGGCTCTGCAGCTTACCTGGTGTTGGGCTGGAATCAGCAATGCTGGGACTTTCAGGCAAATCTAGGTTGCCTGCTTTTCCTTTCCTTTAGCTTTGTTCAGCTCCTTTTAGATGATCTCTTGGCAGAGATACTGGAGTGGTTTGCCATTTTCTTCTCCAGATTATTTTTCAGATGAGGAAACTGAGGCAACCAGGGTCAGGTGACTTGCCCAGGGTAACACAGCTAATGCCTGAGGCCAAATTTAAACTCAGGTCTTCATGATTCCAGACCCCCACTGTCTATCCACTGCCCTATCTCGATTCCCCCTAGCTGCCCCCTCTATAAAGCTAGCTTATTTCTTTATTATTATTTATAAAGCAATTTTAAACTCTTAAAAAAGAACAAAACAACAACATCTTGCTTCAAGTCTTCCAAGAATTTTTGCTTGGCTGTGCTTCTTTCTGTTACCCCACCATCTTGCTACCCCCCCTCCCTGCCCCTGCCCCAGCATACACTCTAACTGGGGAGATTATGTGTAAATAACAGACAGGATAGGAACAAAGTAGATCCAAGCTTCTTAACTTTTTTTGTGTGTGTCAATGACCCCCTAGGCAGTCTTACAAAGCCTATGGACCCTTTCTCAGAAAAATGCTTCTAAATGCATAACTCAAATACTTAGGATTACAAAGGAAACCAATTACTTCTAAATACAATGATCACAATATTAAAAACAAACAAAGTTTAACAACCCTAGGTTAAGAACCTCTGGAGGGGGCAGCTAGGTGGCACA